GAGAGAGAGCGAGAGAGAGAGGTGGGGTGAACTCCAGCGCTCAAATACGGGAAGTAAAGGCAGCTGTGACGCACTGAGGGACCAAAGCAGTCGAGATAAAGTACCAGAAAAGTCCAGGATGCAAAGAAATATGATGGTCCCACATCTTTTCACATTTCTTCAAATCTTGCTCATCTTATAAATTAAAAGAGGATAAAGCCAACAAGGAGCCCACAAGCTGCAGGTGAGTTTTTTTTCTCCCTGGCATGAAGTTATCTTAATAACTCAGTTGCATGTTCAATGGATAAACAAATCCAGTGTGGGAATATATCAACAAAAGCCCCTCTGGAGTCAGTATTCTGCTGCATATAAATTTCTAATAAGACAACAGTGTGACAGCATTGTTTAAACTACATTTTTTGCGGGAGGACAAGAGCATATACCAAACATATTTAAGAAAATGACAAGGAAGCGCACTTTTTCCAGCAGAATTACATGTCTAAGGTTAGTTATTTATTACTTAATTATTGTTGCCGTGGTGATAAGTCTACCATTTATCCCCTAAACTGATTAGGCTGCTTTTTGTCCGCATGTTGCTTCCATTTACGAGCATACTTTCTCTGCTAATTGCTAGTTACAGCTGCTTGGTTACAACAGTCTACTGTCTACAAATTGGTCAGGTAAAATGAACACTTAAGAATATTGTGCCTTCTTTGGTAGCTACAAATGTGCAGTTTTATAAAACATTTTCTGACCCTAATACTGTTATGATTATTGGACACAATAGTGAGAAGCCTTTGTTTTTCCTTGTTTCATAGTCCAATGAGGAAGAAAAAACTGTGAGAAATAAATCTTTTACAAGACAGACAAGTATTTTGTCCAGTGGACAACAAAGTATCAGTATAATGTATCCTAAATGGGTAGCCCAGTAATTTAGCTTTAGACTTCCATAGTTGTGGGACTCAGGACACAGATTTGAAAAAGAATCAAAGTCACAGGGCAAGATATCCTGACTTTAGCCTCTAATGTCGGTCAAAAACAGATGGATCCTACAGTTCCCATGATGAAGATGGTCTTTTTTTAGACCCTCCCTGGTCAACCACATCTGTTAAACTCCACAAAGGCAGTTTGCAATTCAGGTCTCATCAGCAGGGTTATTTTTTGTGACTTATGTAATGTAACATATTTATCTGAAACAAATATGATCTTTTCCTAAAGCTAACCAAGTACTTTTATGTGCAGCATAAAAACTGCAACGATTTTACAACGTTAACCACAAACTTACGTAAGCTCTTATGGTCCGGTATGCTGCCTGTCGCTGGTAGTCTCCACTGTTGTGTAGAGACATTCTGGTTTTTAGACCAGCTAAGCAGTACCTATTGTGATGAAAAAACTGAGCTTAATTTGTAAAACCAGTGGAGTACCTTAAAAATCCATTGCTCTCCTCTGTATTCTTCCCATTAGGTTTAGAAACCGAGTAACCTTCTTGCCATTCAGCAACATGCCGGAGTTTAACTGCTCCCCTGCAGCTATCAACTCAAGTGGTGACTCAATTTTTAATGATGTGGGCTGCCCCGAGGTTGCTGTGCTGTGTGGGATGAATATCTCCTGGGTGTTGGCTGACGCTAAAGCCCAAGATCTGGATGTCATGTGCTTGAGTGAGAAGGACTATCTGGCCAAGGAATTGGGGTCTCAGAGGTCTCACCTGTTCCTTCCCGTCTGTGTCACCTACCTCACCATCTTCTTGGTGGGCGTACTGGGCAATTCCTTGACCTGTGCAGTTATTTTGCGCTACAGGGTGATGCAGACACCCACAAACTACTATCTGCTGAGCCTGGCGGTCTCTGACCTGCTGGTGCTGCTGCTGGGAATGCCATTGGAGCTCTACGACATGTGGCAGAACTACCCCTTCCTGCTCGGAGAGGGAGGCTGCTACTTCAAAATCTTCCTGTTTGAGACCGTCTGCTTTGCCTCCATCCTCAACGTGACAGCGCTCAGTGTGGAGCGCTATGTGGCGGTGGTGCATCCCCTCAAAGTCAAACATATGACCACACGTGCTCATGTCAAGAGGGTCATCTTCATGCTGTGGGTGCTGTCCATGCTGTGTGCTGTGCCAAATACCAGTCTGCATGGGATTGCGGTGCTGCCTCCAAAGTTTGGGCGACAGTTTCCCCGATCTGCTATCTGTAGTACGTACAGAATTTTAATTCTATTTTTGTTATTTTAATAGATAACATAAGCAGATATAATGTTTTATAGTATAGCATGCTAACATTTGCTAATTGAACTTTACACAAAGTACAGCTGGAATTGATGGCAATTTCATTAGTTTTGACAATGGCAATGGCGCAAGATAAAAAAAAGTCAGGGGATCCCTAAAATTATTTAATTTGATCCAGACAGGGACATGACTATCTACAAAAAAACATAATCGTCGCTCCGTCTAAAAAACATACCACCACATGGTGGCGCTAAAGGAAAATCACTAATTTGGGTTGGGTACATTGTCTGGGAACTATGAATGTCTTTAACAAATTTTATGCTAATACATCAAATAGATGTTGAAATATTTCACTGGATAAGTGACAATTTGTCATTCAGATTAATTCTGTGGGCACCATGAATGTTCCAGATTTTATGGTAATCCATCTAATAGTTGTCCAAAGTCAGTAGGATTCAATAATAATGCCATCCCTTAGCATGGCTTAAAGGGCTAAGAGGTTTTGCAGGAGCACAGGAAGCTATAATACAGATGGTACATTTGGGTTCATGATCTGAAACTACTATACAATCCTTGTGTCCTCAGATGTGGTCAAACCTATCTGGATATACAACCGGATCATCCTGATTTCCACGTTGGCCTTCTTCCTGCTTCCCATGCTGATAATTAGCATTCTGTATCTGCTCATTGGCCTGCGGCTGCACAGTGAGAGAGTGATGACTGTCGTAGACACAAGGTGTAGCTTTGGACCAGAAAGTCTCTCCAGGTCCCACAAGCAGAAGCTGAGCAAACGCAACCTGCAAGTCACCAAAATGCTGTGTAGGTATTATTTCAGTGATGTTTTTTCAATTTTTTCAGAAAACATAATTTAAAGCTGGGGTTGGATAATATTGGAAAGCTCAGCGAGAGAGCCTAGCAAGGTTTGAAATACACCGCCTCCTGCCTCCTCCTGATTGGCTCATGGTTTCCCCCCCTCCTTCCCTCCCGTTCATAGTGTCCGTCCAAGCACGCCCCACACAACTGGCACGTTTAAGTTAAGGTATTACGTTACATCACCGCAGTTGTAAGGTAGAATACCTTAAAATTGCAATATTTTAATCTTTTCAAACTAGCGTCACGAACCCGTTTTAAACTCACAGGAGAAAGATATATTAGCATTACGTAATAGTGATCAAAGTGAATTTCATGGAAAATTAACAAACCTCCCCAAGCAAAATAAATAAATACCTGTCAGCAGAAAGAAGCAGGCAACCTCGGCATCCACTTTTCAGGCACTTCTGTTCTCAGTTGTCTCCACCGCTCCAAAAGCTACAATGACGTTGATCCTGGTTTCGACTCTTGTTTATCCAGAGCCTTTCTTTGTTTAGCATTGCCTTCTTCATTCCTCCGGCTTTCTTTCTTCTTTGCCTTTTTCTCGGGGCAGCCGTTACAAGTAACCATGGAAGCGGTACTTTCTCCAGCTCTTAATCCTGCTAGTTCCTGTAACCTCTGGCCTCTCCTGCAGAGAGTGTGCTGTTCTGTTTCCGGCACAGTACATGCTGCGAGCGCCAGCAGGCCAGCCCGGAACAGAGGGGAGGCGGCGCTGCAGAATCAGACATGACAGGCATCTGATTCGTTGTTGCTCTTCGGACCGAAGGGCACGATTTGGTCGAAGCTTTTCTCAGTCCTGCAGCCTGAACAGAGAGGCTCTTGACTCTTTCTCCGTTCTTTTTTCTGAAGACATAACGAACTGATTCCTCTGACAACAGAGGGACCATTTCACCCAGTATAACAAAACGTGCTTCTGAACAGGATTGCCTACCCTACCTTTAAACACTGTCTGTATGTCCGTTTATATCCATTGTTCCCATATGCATTTGTACACTATTTTTCCATTTGACTCTCTCAGCTTTGCCTTGTCATCTGTCATTTGCTGGTGATTGAATTTACGTCACAAATCTATACTTGTGTGTCTGTGTGTGTGTGCTTCAATTTCCCTGGTGTCAATCTGTCATCGAGCTAAACTTTCCATCTGACCTGTCCAGGTGTGCTGGTGGTTGTCTTTGGCCTTTGCTGGGCTCCTTTCCATGTGGAGCGCTTAATGTGGAGTTACATTGACCCCTCATCTGACCTTCACAAAAAGGTCTTCGAGCATGTCCACATTGTCTCCGGAGTCTGCTTCTACCTGAGCTCTGCCATCAACCCCATCCTTTACAACCTCATGTCCACCAGGTTCAGAGAAATGTTCAGTCATGTAACCTGTTCTTCTAACAGCTGGCCGTCACGCTCCAGCTTACAGATGACCCAACGCAGCACTTTGAGTGAGAAAATGCCCAACAGTACGAAATGGACTTAAGGAAGTCCAAGAACATTATACAGAAATAGATGACAAATTAAATGAAAAACTGAATGACAGGAGAAATACAACTAACAAAGTGATTGAGGGGTCAATAAGCCTGAAAATTGTGTAAATCGTATCCTATGGCTTACTTCGACACATCAAATATCTTTTAGAAAAATGATCATCACTCTTTTAATTTTATGTTGGTTGGTCCTTTAATTTGTCACCTTATCTTACACATAAGTAGCTCATAGACCTTCAAATGGGAATGCCCTCGCCACAAATGGAAGGATATTACCCTCTAAGTGGTAGTGGATGTCAGAAAAACACGACTAGATCTTACGCCAAATGGATATGTGACCAAAGGCTACATGACAAGCCTTAAGAGACCCACTTCGGATAATGATGAGCACACTTGCATGCTGCACACTCTCCTATAGTATCTGGGGGTCCTGGAGAAATATGTCAAAATCCAATTTAAAGAGAGGACCAACCAAACAACCTACTGAATGAAGCAAAGAGATGATAAGATGGAGAAACTGCTCGGATAAAGAATGAAATTATCATATAAATGATACAACAGCATTTTTCTGCATGGGGAATGTAACCAATCAGCTCTCACAAAAGAAAATAATTTCTATTTGTGTACTCTGTGAATCTATTTATTGTATATACATGTACTGTATAACGTGAAGCGTAACATTTTCAGGCTTGTCTATTCACTGCTGTTCAGCTCAACACTTCCACAGCAAAGAATGGAAGCACAATGGTCTTCTGTTTAAAAGCAACAACATTTGTCTGGGAATGAATGAGCAGAGAAAATCAATCAATCAGTCAATTGAGCGAAGAAGAGGAATAAATACACTATGGTACGTCTATGGTACTTATAGCCATTTATTAGCCATGTGCCTTAAAAGTATTAAAATTATATTCTGAAAATACTCAATGGCTTAATGATTTTATAGGCCAAATGCTACAACGCTGTGTGACTACTTATACAATGTACAATATCACTAATTCTACGTGTTATTTAAAGCTTAATCAACAAAACATACATTATCATTTAAGAAATAATTACTGCCAGGTTTTAAGGATCACATCCATGTATTGCTTTTCTGATAGTAAAACATGTTGTTGTTACATGCATTGAATTAATTGCTTTAACATTTTGCAAATTGTATTGAAGACAGTACCTGTATATAGGACATGTGAATATTTATCAATTATTTTATTATTGCACAGGATCTGATACAGTATTCTCTACTATTTATGAAAGCATGTATGTTTTTCTCAGCGTGTACCCTTGAAGTAGTATATGTGATTCCATGACCCGCTTTTGAACATCAGTACAGCTGGTAAGATGTGCCAGCAGAGTTATTGTTCTTATTACGGTTTTGACTTGGAAAGAGAATAGTATAATGAGTCAGTGCGCTTGTTTTCATGTTCAGACTCCTATAGCGCAACCAGCTCCAGGATAAAAATGTCGTCTGTGTAAACATCATGGTTAAAGTGCTGCCCGAACAATACAAGTTATTAATGAGTAACAAGGTCTGCCAAGAGCCACAAGAACCTTTCCACTAGGCTGTCTTATCTCAACTGTGGGTGACACGCAGTTCAGGGGAAAAACTAATTCGTACAAATGGAGACGATGATTATGAGGGGTAGAGGCTAGGGGGAAAGATGATGTCACTGGCTCAATAATATGGAAAATAAATTAACGACATGAAGCAGGAGGAGGACAGAAGATAACTGATGGATAATGGCAAATCACTTTGTAATGACACCAACACTAATGAACAGCAATCTACCCACAACTTCCATCACCATAACAGAACACACTGTTTACCCACCAGCTCTGCAAATAGACTTGTCTAAAAGGCTGCATCACCAGTATCACCCAAGAAATGACATTCATTCAAGAGCGTGCTTATTACCACCACCCGCGGCATCTGATGTAACAATATGAAGCGACAGTATCATTTTATTCACAACTTTAAAGAATTATGTGAGCTGAATGTGGGCGCTGTAAAATTAAAGCACAAATCAACCCAAATGAGAAATATGATGTGTTTTATTTTGAATTTTACTCACAGAAATGAGCAGAGATCTGGAAATTTCACTATGTTGAAAACCATAAAATCCCAGAATTAGAAACAATATAGCGTCAATGTGCTCAGCGGGAGTTGTTGTAGGAGAAGTTTTTGGCATCACATCACTGGTTTTCAAGTTCATATAAAGTAATTTATTTGCATCATACTGACATGTTTTGACTCCTAACATAATTTAATTATGGTACATTTTTTAATTTAGAAGCTTAATTTGCACACCGTTAAAACTTACAAACTATCTCGTAAACTTATAGCTCACCTCTATTAAAGCAGCAGATAATAAGGGATGGAAACCTAAGAGGGACAGCGCTCATAAAATATTCTCATGACACCAAAAGGATAATTTGAGACAAGTGCTAAGGCAGAATGTAATGTAGGAGCTCAAAAGCATGTCAGAGACTAGAAGGATGTGGAGGAGGAGATATGATTCACCGCAGAGAGGATGATGTGAGGAGTTTCATAATGAGATGAGCTTAAGCATATTGTGAGGATGGTAGACTGACAGTGATAGTCTGACTGGAGCTCGGAGGTCATTCTAATAAGAATAGTAATTGTGGAAGAAGACAGAAGACACAAGACTGATACGTCCTTAACCCGATGTGTTAAGCAGACACCTCTGGGGATGGGCTTTGGCTCCATTAGCAGCCCTGTACGAGCACCATGGTTTATAATTCAATACCAGCAGCACCAGCTGTCTGTGGAAGGAATGTTGTACACATAAAACCCAACATCAGCAATGGAGGGAGGCCAAGACACTGGTAGGTTTAAGGTAAATAAATATATAATAAATATGGTTGCATGCATACAATCGTAAATCGTAAATTGTATAAACTAAACACTAATAAATAGTCCCCTACTTTGGTTTATGGCAGTGCCAGTCGAATCGGATTTGGACGTTCATTATGATGACTCAACAATCTTTTTAGTTCGTCTCTCCTGCTGGGCTGCTGATAGGGCTGTCATCCAAAGAGTTAATGACAGTGGACAGCAGTGGAGGAGGTGGTACCACAGTCTCGTTCAAAAGTGGTTTGTACTGTACTGACAGTTAGCACCAGAGCAGTGTCGGAGCAGCCTGGCTGTCGGGCGTAACGCTGCCTTCTGTTAACTATCATTCTTCTCCGCTTTCATCACAGTTAGATGTTGTGGTTGGTGGTCATATTGAGACTTTGTAACGTTTACGGCCTGTTCAATGACGCAGTTAAGTGTGCAGTGATTCGACAGACAAAATGCGAGTTGACTCAGAGTCTTCTCGATTGATGACTTAGATCATTGAGTGATCAGGGACAGCCCTAGTCTAGACTGAAATATTTCAACAACTTTTTGATGGATTTCTGTTAGGCCTTTTTTAATGATTCCCATACAATGTCTCCTCATGACTTTAGTAATCCCCTGAGCTGTGCTCTACCACCACCATGAGGCTGATATTTTAGGTACTGAGTGAAAAGTCTTGACAGTAATTGAATCCCCTCAGGATGAACTGTATTAACATTGGTGATTCTCTAACTTTTCCTCTAGCACTGTCAGGTCAAAACTATAATTTGTCCAATAGCCTACTGTGCTTAATAACCTGTAATGATCATCCAATCAAATCCTCTGTACTTTCTGTTCTGTGTTTATTGGTAATCAGCTCATTAGCTAACCCTAACCCTAACATGCTGAATAAGGAGTTTAACATGTTATCTGCACTAGCTGTAGTGTTAGCATTTAGCTCAATCACCCTAACCCTAACATTTTCGTGCCTGGCACCAAACAGCAGGAACACAATCAAAAGCTAACAGCTGGTGAACATAGAGCATTTATCTGCTAACATAAAGATAAACATATTTTTGTTTTGGACACTAACACAGAGCTAAAATGTGTGTGAACATTGGACTACATGTAACTAGTAACATGTTTGCTAGCCCTTCATATCAACTTGGTGATCTGTGTTGTGTTTCTATTTTTTTTTCACTTCTGGTAAGTGGCCCAAAAAATGTACTAACACTGTTTTAAAGATTTGGGCACAATTTAGATGTGGTTACGAGATTACAAATACTCAGATTTGGTATTTTCTCTCAAATTTGACCTCATTTAAAAATATGACATTCCTCTATTGTCCATGTATTGCACGTGATTTACAGGACACTAACACCCTGGCTGCAGAACTAATTAAACCAAACCAACTCATTAAACCAATCATAATCATCTCACAGTCCAAAGATGTGCAAGTTAGGTTGATTAGAAAACTCAACATAGGGTGACCATGCATTGGCACAGTGCATGCCATCACCTCCTTCTGTGACCCTGAACAGGATATATGGGTGCAGAGAATGAATGGAAGGAGAATGATTAAGAAAGAAAGACTTAAAATACTAATGCACAGATTGCAGGGCGGATGTGGGGCTGTGGGGGATTTATTTTCTTATAAAGAAAGCTGGACAGTGAATAATATCTAAGAAACATTCGGTAAATTGATTGTATGGACCAGTATTGAGGAGTCAAGGTTGTGCCACAACATCACTCAGCCGGGTGCCAATAAGCTCATGTACTTGCAGGAGAATGTACTTACAACACTACAGCGAGTGCCAGTGTAAGCAAAAAGTAATTCAGAGACTGTGAATATTGGTAGATAAAGAGGGAAAGGGATATCAACAGCACATTGATTAAACTCTGGCACCGCTTCTCTGTTTTCATTTTCTCCTTGTTACACCAGCCTTAGTGGGTGAGATTAGCTCTCCACTCAATTTATAGGCAAGCTATTTCACAAAAGACAGTAAATCCCAGGACAGTGGAGTTCTGCTGTGATTGCATTCTCCTTATGTTTATAAGTCTGATGCTTTTGTGCTGAAATGACTGATACACCTGCAAAGTCAAGAGGGAGAAAGAGAAAGTCAAGATTCACTTGGTGTTTTATACAGTCTATAGGTCCAACATATCATCAGCATATATAGGCACACTAGCGACATGGTTTCAGGGACGACAATGTCAGATATACTTCAACAACTGTATGATGAATTGCCGTTAAATTTCTTACAGACATTCATGGTCACCAGAGGACGAATCCTGCTAACTTTTCCTCTAGCGCCACTATGAAGTTAACATTTGGTTATATCACACTGTAATGTTTGATTCCCTCTAACTTTTCCTGCTGGTTTCAGCTAATTAGCACAAGAAAGCACAATCTTTGGAGACATATCTCTTTCCCCTGAAATGAAGTAACACAACAAAAGAGCCCACAGAATGTTCCATATTGTAATTTGCGAAGTGGTGTTAAGTACGTTGTTACCTGAAGGGATTGTTTTTATCCAGTACAGAGGGTGCAGTTAATTAGGTTTGTGTAGAAGTGGATTTTGTTTTCTGTGCTTAATCCCAATTTGCAACTGTGATGTAACCCAGTCCCTGCATCTACAAGATGTAATAATGTACATATTTATCGTTTCCTATTTTTGTTTGTATTTATGCTGAAAAGTATGATTTAAAAAAAAAAAAGAATGGCTAAAGCAACTGATATACACATGAGCAGATAACAGTTTATGACTTTAAATTTGTTTACAGTTTCGTTTGAAAGGAGGATGAGCGACTCGGACCCTAGGGATGACTGTGTCAGTCTGAAGGTTAGTCCACCACTTTGGTTGAGACAGATATGGCTAATAGATGGACTGCCATAAAATTTTATACAGACATATATGGTCCCCGGAGAATGATCCCCTGACTTTTCTTGTAGCACCAACAGCAAAACCTCATGTGAAATGTGGTTTTATAGTGAAATTTATCTACTGGGTGGATCGCCATGAAACTCGGTATAACCTTGTTGGTCCCTACTATTCTTAACTAATGACTCATCAGCTTCAGCATTGTGTTTAGTGCTAATTATAAAATGCCAGTATGCTAATATGGTAAACTAATATGGCAAACACTTTGAACATACCTACTAGCATTTTCAGGCTGTAGACTTTTTGTCTTAATTAGGCCTTGTAATTTCCTAAAACAACAGGGCACAGTAATTCATTCACCTGAGGTAGCAACAGTACACTGCAGTTAACAGACCTGTGTGCAGGATTTAGCAGCATCTAGCAGTGTGTTACAGATTTCAACCCCCTTGCTTCACCCTCCCTTCCAAATGCAAGAGAAACTATGGTGGCCGATACAAAGTTCAGTCAGACCTCAGTGTAAAAAGAGCTGTGAACTGTGGGTATACAAAGCTGTGACAGTAGTTTTCTGTCACTCTAAGATCTATTTAATAAAACAAGAGGAGTCCCCCCAACAAAAAAGCATGAAAATTACCAGCAACATCCTCTTTGAGTCAGTGCTGATGTATTGCTCAGTGTAAAAAGTTAAATATTGGTATTCCAGTAGGCCTGCTGTTTAGGTGATGGATTAAACAATTGAAATTGCATGTGAATCACAGCACATCTGTTTACAGTTGTGGCAGAGGTAGAACATCTTAATATGGACATCCTTGTCAGCTTGTGCATCAACACTGCCCCCCAATATAAGCATGGATTTATTGTTGGACTTGTCAGGAAAGCACATGAAGTCATATCACTACCAAAGAAATGAATGTTAGGACAGTCACAGTCAGGTTTCCCTGAGGAAAATAATTAATGCATGAAAACTCAGTTCTTGTCTCACTCACAGTTGTGCTGCTTTCCATCTTATCAAGAATTAATTAACTCTTAACAAATAACCAGTATGCTAGAAACCAGTAAATTACAGTCTAACATATCACAGCCACTGTATTATTCTTATTCTCTACAACTATTATAACTGCTTTCAGATATGTAGCACATGAAAGCACAATCTTGGGAGATAAATATCGCTTTCCCTTAAAATGAACTAACGCAAACGAAAGAGGCCATAGCACAGAGGAGGTTCCATATTGTAATTGTAAAAGTGGTATGTTACCTGAAGGGACAGTTTTATCCAGTACAGAGGGTGCAGTTAATTAAGTTGAGTAGAAGTAGATTTTGTTTCTGTGCTTAATTACATTGATGCTTAATAAAACCACAACTGTGATGGCACCCTGTCCCTGCAAATACAAGGATGTAATATTTTTTGTTTCCCGTTTTAGATACAAACAAGTTTCTCTAATCAGATTTTTTGTTACGCATTTGTTGACAGTTCATGCTGCACTGATATGCTGGTTTGATTTAGAGTAGCTTTTAGTTAACAATACTTCAAAGTCTGGCTATGTTTAATTCTAAATTAAATTTAAATGCAACCGATTCAAAGTGATTGTGGGTGAATGTTTGTTTTTGAGTAAAGAATGCTAGTGGCAACATATGCTTCATTTCAGGTCTTAGAGATAAATTACAGCTGGTGAACTGTAAATAAATGAAGATATTGTAATATAAGTCAACAGAAAATGGTTTATGACTAACATCGGTTACAGTTTTGGTATGAAATGAGTTCCTCTATAAGAACAGCATGTGCTGTGGAATCAGTTATTGAAACACAAACAAGGCATCTTTTGTACAAAATAGAGTTTACAAAGTAAAAAGGTTATTTGCACTTATGTAGGCACAACAGATCATAATCTAAAGTTAAAAAAGTAACAGCACACTATACAGTAAACTACTGGAAAACAGCTTACAGTCTTGATAAGCGTAAACAATATGTCTGAATATTTCAGTAAAAGGAACAGCGCAAAAATAATGCAATTTGGATAAAACAAGCAGTGAAGAACAAAGAAAAGCTGAAAATCCCCCCGTTAGAGGCTGTGACGCTTCCTGAGGTAAAGGTGTAGGAGATGTCGGCTGTCAGGCATTTTATTCCCATCTTTCAAAACATTATATGCTTCAAAGGTTTTTAGGACAGTACTTTTTTTCAAACTGGGCAACGTTGAACTTCCGAAGGCAGCCTTTGTAGTTCATGTAACGGATCTTTCCGAAAATGGGTCTCTCTGCCCAGCCCTGGTCATGGATGCCACAAATAGACCACATACAACCTGCAGGATGAAACCATAGTGTGGAGGGCATTAATATGCAAGAAAAGTAATTCAGAAAATCAGCGGCGCACAAAAGGAGCATTTAATATATGTCCTCACCGACAAAGCCATTAGGATCCTGGCCATCCAGCTCATAGCGATCGTTTAGGTACAGAGCTATTGAGAGCGCCTCCTCGGGTGAAGAAGTCCACTCCAGAATCTTTTTGGCCCAGTACATCCTCAAGAAACCATGCATCTTCCCCTCAGTCACCACCTGGTACTAATGGAGACGTGCAATAAACAGCAGTAAGTTTGACACAGCAAGCAAATGAGTTTACATCAGAAACAGCTGAGTGAGAAGACCAAAGAAGATCTGTTGTGTTATAGACTACTTTTTGTACCTGAGCAGCGTTCCAGAGTTTGTCATGTGTCTTTGCTTTCTCCAGCTGCTCACGTGTGTATAGATACGGCCTCTTGTCTTTGGCATGGTCTTTCAAGGTCTTCTGAGCCCACTCATACGCACCTGAGTATAAAAAAACACATGCAACACAACAACATTTTTAAGAAACAATCAGAAAGCAAAAACAACTTCCAGAGCTGAATCATTACAAAACATACTCCATCAATTTATACATTAACTCAGCTTGTGAGCAGATGACTCATCTAAATGGGCCACGACAGAGTGAACAAGATGCAATTTAATGAGACCTCAACTGACCCTCCACGCTGTCGTATTTCTTGTTGTAGAAGCAGAAGTTGTCAGTCAGCTCCCTGCGCACCACCAGCTCCTCGATGAAAGAGGAGACCGACTGACCTGCGCTCTTCCCACTGTGCTGAACTTGCAGCGCCACCCGCTGGGCTGAAAGGTGGCCTGATGGGAGGAAGAAGAGATTGTTGAAAAGGATAAGCAAATAGGCAGATAAAGATGGACAGAATAAGGAGGCAGTGATAAAAGCCCGTCTTCCCCAGTTCAGAGCTGATAAGAGGAACTTTTAAAGCCACCCTAGTTTGTAGTCTGTCTGGTTTCATGGTCGTTCACTTTGAACTCAACTGAGGATGTTAATTATCTCCACAACTTAACTTTAGATAAAATGGCATCCAGTGGTTTAATGGCACTGTTATGCAGTATGAGCATACAGGGTATCTCTATTATCCAATGTGTATAGCATGGTGGTTTATATAATGAACTTTTGTTTTGCAAAAGGACAAACAAGTTCTGTTCAGGTAAAGAATCCAATAAAAAAGCAGAACAATGAGCTACTTATAATGCTGTACTGAAAACCATTGTGTGTACGGCTCAGAATTAGTAGTAGTAACATCAAAGGTGTTGTGAAATCAATACCTTTAGTCTTTTTGGAGATTAAAACAAGCTTTTAAAAAAGGTTTGACGGTTGTCAAAAGCAGATATAAACTTGAGAACGCCTGGCTAGTGGTAGAGCAGATGGTACTACAAGCAAATAATTAGACAATGCAATGTCAATTTCATCAACTGAGTAAAGAACAGAGGCACTAATATTGATCCTTGTGGGACACCTTTATCAACCATTTTAAACCATCAACCTTAAGTCTACCAGAAAGTTGTAGCAGTTATTGTACTTTGACCAGGTCTAAAGCTTGACTGGAGGACTTTATTTTCCTCCAGAAAGATGCAGAGATGTGAGTTGATTCTTGAATTTTAGACAGAGAGGAAAGCTTAGATATAAGCCAATAGTTGTTTGGGTCACATATGTGGAAGTAAATGTAAGAAAGAGTAAATTTATAAGCGCTAATGCAGAGATGCTGCAGAAATGCTGCAGAAATTTACAAAACCACCCCCCACCCACCCCAAGGACATGCATAAAATGATTGATCATTTTCATGGTACTCAAGGTTCCCACACCTTCCTAAACATCAAATTCAAGGTCTTATCAAGGACTTTTCAGGCCCAGTTCCCTCAAATTCAAGGACCCAACATGGCATCGTTTGAGACACGGATCAAGGTTAATTACTGTTACAACACTAAAAATGTATATAACGAGCACTTGCAGACTTCACAGAAGCTCATAAAACACAATTAAAAAGAGAGTATAACATAAATAATAATAAAAAAAATATATCAAAAGAATTTCAATGTCTACTCTGGTGCAAAATAAATTATTCAAACACTTTCAATGATCCATGTCTTTTTATAAAACCCTGATTAGGACCCGTGGTAACCATGGGTACTACTGACCAAAGCGGATCCAGGGGGAGAGCTGGCTGAGGGCGGGAGCGTTTGGGTCATTGCGTTGGGTGTCAAACAGTTTAAGGCGTACATCAATAAAGGACTCCAACATGGCCATCCCTGCCTTGGTGCCAGGTTTAGCCCACTCCGTCTCTCCCACTGCTCTGTCAAGCTGCAGGGACGTTAGGGTTTTGTCCCAGTCTACTGGCTGTAAGGTGAAGGTGGGAGAAAAAGGAGAAAAGAAAAAAAAAAAAATCAGCAGAGGTCACAGCTGACAGTGATGAGCTAAAATATACACTGTTTTTTTAAGAAAACTGCAAACTTCAAAAGAGGTGAAGAAAGTTCTGAGCCTTTCACCTAGCTTACGTTATCAGGAGGCTCAAACCCGTGACTGGCATATCAATAATGGTACTGCAGTGAAAGCACACACTCCTGCGGCTTTAATATGTAGTGCTGGGAAAGAAATTTAACTTTTGGACAGTCAAAAAAAAAAAAAAAAAAAGTCTACTGTTTATATTCACTCGTCAATAAATAATGTGTATCACAGAGGAGCTGCTGAAGGTTGAAAGGAAGTGCTTTATTGGAGCAGTGTGACTTCCAAACTCCCCATGAATGAGCTCACTGACAGCCCACTTTCCTTTGTATTGATCTCAGAAAACACTTCCAAAGCAATGAATATTTTTTAGGAGAAGAGGATTGTGTTTGTGTTGTCTTATCCAATCCAAAAGTCCTTAAATATTACATAAATACACGACTTCTTTCTCCTCCTTACAATAGCATAATAATGTTTATTCACAACAATCCCACTGTGGGCTTCACTGTTACTGCACCACTTACTTTGGCAGTTCTTGTAGCTGTGTAGGGGTGTTTCTCTACCAGAGGAAAATCAGTAAGGAACTCTGGCAGAAGTTTGGTGATTTTTCCTCTGATGGTCCTGGCGGCGTACTCGAGCTTAGGCGATGCTACCCAGCAGGGAACAATATTGTGGGCATCAACCTATAAAAAGAAAATTAGTTTTTTTGCCATATAACAGACAATGAAGAAACACTGATAGTACAAATACTAAATTAGAGGGAGGCCAATTACATCATTTGTTTCTTTATGAACCAGTGTGGTGGGGATAATAAATAAAACAAAATGGAAAAGACGAGGGAGGAAGCAAACAATAATATCCACTGGCAAAGAAACAGAACGCAGAGCATCCTATCACCCTCTCCCTCTCTGGCAGCGAGTGTGTACCTGCATGAGGGGAATGTCCTTTGGAAGCCTTTTTTTGAGGTCCTCCACCCACTGCAGTGGCTCTCTGAGGGGGGAGAAGTCTGTCACCACGGTCCCGAGGCTGCGGTCTGACACAAAACCAGGGAGAACATCCCCTGCAGAACCATGCAGCAAGTGGAACTGGATGTCCAAGGCTTTGCACTCCTGTTTGTTTGGGGCAGAACAACAAAAGTTAAGCAACATAGACTTGGTTGTGGGTTCAAGTACCTAGATCACAAATACAAAATGTTTTTGACTTGTGTTTCTTCTAAATGTCCCTCAAGCCTAGAAAAAGAATTGTATTTAGTACTTTAAACTCAGTAAAGAAACATGTAAGGGTGCCACTTTCCCAACTTTTCTATTGATTCATGTTTTATTGTTTCATTACTCACTTTACGAGGGCTGCAAACGCTGGTTTTCATTATTGATGAATCTGTGAAATGTGTTTCTCACTTAATGGATTTAAAACCTTATACACTAATCAAATTGCCATTCACAATTACCCAGAGCCCAGAGCCAAGTCTCCAGATTGCTTGTTTTCTCCGACCAACAGTCTGATTTAATAAAAAATTAAAGCTGTCACTTGTCGTCGCTAGTGATTTTTGGTTGTTTGAGAAGCATGAACCTGAGTGGGTTTGGCATTTTTAATTGTTTATTCACCTAAACAATTGCTACACCCTCATCGTAACTGATTAATGTGCTAATAAAATGTAAAAAATGACAAATGCCCACCTCAAGTCACCAAATACAGATTTTGAATGTTCACTTTCAAATTATGTTCAATAAAAAAGAAAGCAAAAAAGTGTTTGGTGGCATTAGTTGATCTTTACTAACTGTATTAACGTATTGTAATGTATGACTGCCAATCAAATGAATATAGATGAACCGACTAATGCACTACTGGAATTTATGACTCTGTTAAATAATGAAGTCGATACCTTTGCAACTTCTTCCAGACCTTTCAGCATAAAGCTGTAATGTCTCAGGGTGGACAGTTCTGATTCTGGGACATGCAGGCACACACAGACGTGCAGAGGAAGGTTCTCCTCCACAGCAAGCCGCTGGGCATGGACCAGTGCCCAATTATCTGAAACACACAAAATATATTGCCAATGGAGATACAGAGAAAATACAAGCTAGAACAGGCCTCTCACTGCACTGCTGGTAGTTTACCTTGCACTCTGTGGTCTCTTAACATCCAGTACAGGACACCCTCTGAGCCCTGCTTTATCTTTTCAGTGTCTGATAGAAAACGGAGGCGCTTGTCATTGAATTTCATCTCCTTCTTCTCTGTCCTCTGCTGCTCCAGGAGCTCTTGCAGCCAGCCCCCAGCTCTCCCCTTCTTCTCCTCCTTCGTGGCGGCCAACTTCTGCTGCTTGGCACTGGGCTCTTTAGCAGCAGACCTCGCCTTGCGTTTTTTGTCAGACATGATGGTTTGACTGTTGAATGGCTTCCTCAGGCAGGAGAATACTGAAGTGGGACTCGAAAGTGTTCTTCGTGCAGAAGGAAAAGACGAGCTGCAGGTAAACCCCAGTGGAAAAAAGTGAACAACTCAAGATAACACCGTTTGCAAAACATTACACAAACCAAAAGTTACGTAAAGAACCGTGTGTTGGACTTATTTGTGAAGTCAGAATGCATTAAGAAACACACGCCAGATGTTAAATCATAGAAATAAGTGAAAAAACACGACGACTAGAGCTTCTCACTCAAACCACAGTCGCGTTGAAGAGATAACTTACCTCCTCCAAATGCAGTGCAACATACAATGAATGATACGTTGAGTCGGTCTGTAAAAGCGTTCACGGTATTCTGAAGCTAAACGAAACAAACGTAGTACTTACGAAGGACACGTCTGTCGCTACTGAATTTCCTTTATACGACCAGTAGCATGAGCACGCTGGTTTTTAGGTTTTGTAACACAGTTATTGTTGTTGAACTGCATTTCCCACAATGCGCGGCGGCGTTTACGTTCGGGGGAGGGTTCGTGTCTGTTGCCGTAGCCTCAAAAGGAACAAACTGCTGGCACGGTTAACAAGTATTATTGTTTTTCTCTTCGCACCTGGGATTGTCTGTCGCGGTTTTAAAGTATGAACAAAGGTGGTTTTCCAGCAGGCCGGGGGAGGACTCCGGCGGTGCCCGATAAAGTCGACATGTCCTTAGGTAAGATGGCTAACACCAACGTTACTAAAATAGAGTAGGCGCTAACGTTAGCTACAGTCCACTGGTGCCAGGTTGTCAGCGGCTCGCTAGCTGAACTGATCTCATTTGAGCATTCAGACGGCCTTGTTAACCATTGCTCGTGTGTCAAATTGAACAGATGACATAATTCGGTTGAACAAAAAGGAGCAACAGTTCAAGAGGAGACAGGCCACCGTGAACCGCCGACCAGTCAAGAGGAAAGGCACTTTAACCCAAGCAAAGGGGGTCTCGTCCCGGGCTGCTGGCCCCCTCCAGAGAGGTGTGTGTGTGTGCTGGTAACCATTTTCATGTTTATGTCCAAACGGCTCTGTACGTTACATATGTAATGACACTAATATTATGTTTACCAGGAGGGGGCGTGCCCCGAGGAGGAGCACCGAAATTAAGAAACCGAAGGGTCCCTCCACCACCGGGGAGACGACGGGGTCAAGGGGTCATCACAGGACTGGCAGCCCGGCGGCCAGCTGCCCTGCTCAAACGGGTCGGCACATTCAGCAAAGCAGCAATCAACCAGGTAATGGAGGACACACTGGGGGGGAGAGGACACACTGGGGGGGGCGATAACCACGCTGCAGACTGCTGGCAACACTGATCTCTGCACACATCTCATTGTGGGATGGTTACATTCATTGAAGGAGTGGTGTCAGCTGTTTGCCCAACGAGTTAGACTGACTAAAACAGCCCTTTCCCCCAGCTTTATTAGATAGAAGATATAAGAGGAAAAAGAGAAGAAACGGTGCTAAAGATTAGACGGTTCAAATTCGACACACTGAAACTCTCTGTGGTATTGCACTGAAGCTTGATCACCTTCTGCAAGACCTTGCACTTGTCAGAAGTTGACAAAGAGAAGAAAAGAAAAAAAGAAGAAAAGATGGAGCTCAAGTGCATTTTCAAAAAGCATGTGCATTGTTATTTGTTTCCTTGGTAACCGAACAGCCTTGCGTGCCTACTGTACGAGCACGCGCACCAACAGACTGAACCCTTTCCTGCTGACCTGAATCTTCCCGACCTTCATCGCGGGCAGAGGCAGGAGTTCTCTCCACATCCTGTCGCCTGGCAACAGACATCAGCAGCTGCCGTCTGGTATCCAGGAAGCGCTAACTCACTTGGTTAGCTGCCCCTGATGTTGTCTGCTCCAGATGAGACGACCTTAGAAACTTTTCCATTTCCCATCATCCCTGAATTGTGATATATTTATAGTTAGTAGAGCTTAATGAGAATCTCAGCGGACGTGATTGGAACTTTGAACCTACATAGCCCACCACAGCATCCTTAATTGATTTCCCCCCTCTCAGTAAGTTACTGTATCATTAAAGCTGTGTTTTACAAACCTAATCTTCAGTTACTCTATGTCATCCCCCTTGGTGATTCATCGACCTGTTCTCATGCTTATTAACATTGTCTTTAAATTCTTAAATTGAATTCATTTTTTCAAATTATTTCCAAAGCGCATATAAAAAGTCAAGCCTGATCTCGTGCAAATTCTAAAGATATATATATATATATATCCAAGCAGATTGGGGTTGATACTTTTTAGCATTAACCTGGATCACACTGTTTATATAAGATTTGCCTTTTTACAGATGGAAATTCAAATGGGTTTGTTTTGTGAAGTGATGCTGGTTCATAATGTAAACATGGTAAAAGAACTAAAGTAAGATAGTAGAGTTATGATTTTAACTCATCGCCTACCATAAAATGACGTGCTTCACTGTCTTTCAGAAAACAAGACAGAAAACAAAACCTTTCATTCAGCGCCCTGAAGCTCAGTACAGGAAGCCAGAGGTACAGAGGCGGCCGTACAGGCACCCCGATCCACAGAGAGCCCAGAATGCGACATCGGTCAGGAGACCATTTCAGCTGCAACGGCGGTGAGAACACCTTTGTAACAACGCGTGTACAGTCCTACAGTGCCCTTGTGCCAGTGTATAGTTCTCTCTGAAGACCTGCACTGAATACACAGCTCTATTTTGATATGTTTGTGTTGCACCCATGCAGACCACTGCCGCCTGTCCAGCAGACTCAGAGAGAAGCACGTCAGGCCACATTTCTCTTTCGCAGGGGACTCAAGGTACACAATGGTTGTGTGAGGCTTTTCTGTTAGCATATGTAGCATAGCCTGTTTTTATCTGGGTGTTGAAAGACTTAAATCTATCTATAAATATCAATACACCGCTTTGTTTATTCTCCATGTCCAATGCTCCATATTACAGGTACAGGCACAAGTGCAAAAGCCGAATCCTCACACTCCTCCAGTCAGAACTCGCCAGTGAGTATTCTTAGATCTCCGAGTCTATTTTGCCTCATTGTTGGTCGTTACTAGCTGATTGCCTGTGTTACTCTGTATGTGCACGTGTGAGAAGAGGAAATCGCGAGGAGGATGTGAATATTTGGAGGGGAACGAAGACCATTGTTTGCCATTTTAGGGTCAGTGTCTGTTGTTTGTGTGATAATGTGCAACTTTCCTGTTTGTCCACCAGGTGGCGCACATCATCTACCAGCAGTGGAATCTTGACTGTTTCAATTGACAACCCAACAGCCAGGACGCAGCCTGAGTAAATATCACAAACCCTGCACAATCTTTACACTCTGCTTTTATACGTCGATTAGGAAACAATTTCTAAAATAAAAATGTTTTTTGTTCATAGTAACAGGAACATTTAGAAATATAGTTAGTTAGTTATTACCCTCACACCTCAGTCAGCGACTGTGTGTCTTCTTCGTAGACCTCCCACTGCTTGGACCCTGCATCCCCCAACAGCCACCTCTGCTCCCATCAAGGTGGAAACGGTGGAGAAGAAAATCCCAAAAGGAGTGCCTCTGCAGTTTGACATCAACAGTGTTGGGAAACCGGTGAGAGACTTGACACACAGGCAGAGGACCATTTTAAATGTGTTTATATCCACATTGGGCTTCACGCACTAACATTCTCTTAAATTTTTCTGTTAACATAAAAAACACATAAAACACGCCAAACACACTCTTACCTGTGTCCCCAGATGTGCTGAATGATGAATCCCACTTGATCATAAATTGAAGGCGTGAGGCTGATTGTTTAGTAGCATAGGTAATGCCCCCTAAACATAAGGGCAAGGGTTAATGCCTTGTGCCAACTCTGGAAAGAGATGCCACCAAAAAAAGGATGGGTGGATAGAAAAATGACACAAAAAACGACCTCAAAAGCGCTCAATAATAAGAATCACAAAAGGAGTAATTTTGAATATGAACAAAAATAAGAGAAAATATGTTTGTATATCACTTTCTGCCAATTGTCTCCAAAACACTGCTCCCCAAAGTGTTTAACAGGTCTCTGGTGTACTTCTCTCTCCACAGCAAACATCGATGACCTTGAACGAGCGATTCCGCATCCTGAAAGATCAGCGCACCGCCACAGCACAAAGCGTTAAAGGCAGCAGATTTGTTACCGTGGGTTAGCCGGGCAAAAAAGACGATGACAAGTAATAATACTAAGAAGCCCTTTTGTCCTGCTCAGATCCACACAGTGACCCCCACCTTTCTGACGGAGGGGACGCGCTGAACCACCGACTGACGTTACTAATGAGAGGGAGAGAAAATGTGGGACACGTGAGCACAACATGCGCAATGGCTCAGCTGTGAGAACACAAGTGTGCAAAGTGTCAATGGACGTTGGTTTAAAATAAGTTCCCATTCATTGTCCATATCATTGTACTCCACTGTTTGTATTGTGGACGTCCTATACTTTGGACTTGGAACTGTTGACACTATCAAGAAGACTGCTTGGATAGGATTTCTTATTTAGAGAGAACTGCTATGTATTTGCAAGGGTGACAAGTATGTTCCCAATACCCGTTTTTGACATTTTTGAGAATTGTTTTCTAATGTTTCTTCAAATAAACAAATTTCTCTTTCAAGATTTGGTATACTAATCAGTTTGCAGCACACTGACACTGCAAATCTAGACCTGTAATCAAACAGTGCCATCTGCCTGTGGAACAAACACCAGCCACCTCCCTCTGAAGGGTTTTATGTTCCTCATATATCCAGAGAGTTCACCGACAGACCTTTGCATCTGGGACATTGTATCTTATTGTGGGTTGAGATTATGAATGTAGAAAGAGGATCTGTTCAAATTTAACGCGCTATCAAGAGCAACTTGATTGTCCAGAGGTTTTATATTCAGAAAGTGTTCCAGTGGACAGTAAAAAAGGCTTCAAATGTCTAAACTGTCTTGTATTAACAAATGGCTTTCTGGAACTCTGTAACAAAAGAAACGGGCATATTTTGGAATCTGAATATTGCTTTTATTTAAATACATTAAAATTTGCAATGTAACAAAACTATTGGCATATGAAATTCAAACACCATTCAAATGAACAAAACATGGCTCACTTCATTTTTCTGTGACTAGTGTCAATAACACTAGGTTATTTTTCTTTCTGCCCACTCTGCATCATTTTCTCCATTTACACTGTTCACAGACTATCTTACAATAAGAGTGCTGAATAAAAATGAGGTAAGAAAGTGGTTTGAAGATTACAGATCATGCAGAACATGCTGAACAGCAACAAAATATTTTGTGAAGGAGGAAGTAACAAAACAAAAAAAAAATAACGAGTGTGCTTTAAAAAATAATCAATTTACACAGCTTTGCATCTTTGGTTACAAAGTAGGTTGAATGATTTCACAGCTTTCCCCCCTGGCCCCCTCAGGAAACACACTGGGAGAAAAAAACCAAGAAGGAGGGGGGGTATGGCAACACTAATTCACTTTTTAGATAAAACTACCGACAGATTTGAATCTTCATCAAATGCCTTCTGCAGGCCCATGTTAAGATTTGATGTCAACAGGTGAAGAGTCACCCAGCAAGGCTCTTAATACTTTATACTATACAAAAATGTACATTTATACTGGATCTTGACTCAAGCTATGAATTGGCAATTGCAGAGTAACATTTGAGTTAGTGTTAAACATTTGTCAGAATTTCTTTATTTATTTTTTTAACAATTAAAGCATTGCCCCCGGGAAGTTTGGCCAATCTGTTGAAACACTGTAAAAGAAAAAAGGAAAAAGGAAACAAGTCACTGGGCTTCGGTTAAAACAGGTTTCATGAAATTGTTCTTTTATGAAAATAGCAGCCCTGTAATAAATAAAACACAGTAGAACTCAAAAGACCGATGCAAGGGTTGGACTGGATGTAAAAGTAACGGCAGCGGTGTGGCGCTCCGGAAAAACAGACTCTCTCCCACTTCTTACTTTACAACATGAAACAGCAAGGCTAAAAATACCCCTTTACCCACCCAATTATCTCTCATTTAGAAAAATAATCGCTCTCTTTTTGACAATCACTCCCGTTTGTCCCTTATGTGAGGTGAACCCCTCCCTTTCCACACCCACGGTTTGAGCAGGTTTCAGGTCAGGCGGCGGGCTGCTCTGGCTCTGGCCTGGTCCAAGGAGAAAAGACATCCTGTCCACGAGCTTGGACCCAGCAGTCAACCAATCCGGGAACGCAGCCAAGATGGGAAAAAAAACAAGAAAAAAAAAAAAAAACACCCTGACCTTCCCTGACACGCTGTCTCTACACACACTTTCTCCAAGTCTCTCTGTCTCTCTCTTGATGATTGCATTAACACTGGAAAGGCCCACAGTACAGATGCATACACACTTACATTTCACAGTCACACTTGCTTGCTAACTCACTCGGACACACACAAGCACTGTACTTTGTGGTCAAGCTGGTGGCTAAGAAGACAGTTTTTTTTTTCTTCTTTTTAATTTCACATACACTAATTGTAATAAGTTGTAGGGAAGATGCTCTTCTTTTTTTCTTTTTTCCCCCTGCCCTATGCGAAGCAGGGCAGATGCGCTTCAAGCGGAGGTGACGTTGGGTTGCAGTTGTTGCTGTTGTTGGCCAGGATCGAGCTGAGGCTGAGTCTGGAGCTGCTGGGGTTTGGGGTGCTGCTGGAGCTGGGGGTGTGACTGCGGCTGAGGCTGCGGCTGAGGCTGAGGCTGGACTTGAAGAGGAGGCTGGGCCTGCTGCTGAGGCTGGCTGAGTCCTTGCAGGGGAGGCGTGGAGCCGGTGCTGGTGGCCGACTGGGTGGACAGCTGAGACAGCTGCTCGCTGTTGGCCAGAGATTTCAACACGGCGTTCTCCCTCTCCAGCACAGAGTTCCTCTCATACAGCTCTTTGATCTGTTCCTTTAAGACCTCCACCTCCTCGCGCACTGCATACATCAGATGGCTTTTCACCAGGTCCTGGAGGAGAGGAAGAGCAGGACACAAATCAATATATAGGACCTGACCAGAGGCAGCTGTGACGGATTTATGATGTTCAGACAAGGACCTCAGCGTAAGGCTCAAGGCTAAAGGCTCCATTTGTTCATGTATTCATTCTAGCTGTGAATTCAGTGCGAGTTTATTCTGAAGGGCAAAGATGAAAATAATATATAAAATATAAAAGACCCTAGAGTTCTTAAAAAAGTAAAAAAGTGAGACAACAGTGTATGATGAATGGTAAAGGGATTACTCACCATTGCCTGTTCAATTTTATTATCAATGGCAGCAACATTGGTTCCTGAGGCCCTGTGAAAAAGAAAAGACAGATAGGGTTATGTTAGAGTTAATCTTGTAAATTTCAGGATTTAAAACCTCCAGGGGAGTCATTTTTCTACTCTCATCACCCTTTTCTGCTTTCTTGTTTTTCCCCCAACAGAGAGTAAAAGCAGAAACGACTGGAAAACATACAAATGAACAAGAATCTCAACTGGAAACACATAATGAATTAAATAAAAACCTTTGGAATAACAGACAACACATTGGTTCTCAATTGATCAAACCACCCGCCATCGCCTCACCACAGGAATGTAGGGCAGATGATATAAAATAACCTTCGACCACACTTGGTCATACCATGTACATTACAGCTTCAATCTAGGTCAGGTCACAGAGTGTACAGGAGAATGAGAGAAGCTTGGCTGCAGGCAACACAGTAAGTCAGAGTTAGTGTGAATAACGGCCATATTCAGTGTAGGTGTGGTAATGTCTCCAGTCACCAATCCCAACAGGGAGAAACAAAGTATTCGGATTAGTAACCACATATTGTCTCATGTCAGAGGTCATCATATGATGACCTCATTTTTTTTGGTCCAACTTTCTCCCCCCAGGGTCACACTGTGGTTAGTATGTGGTATGTGGAGTTATCAGCACATACTATATTTGATCGACTTGTAAATCAGACACCTGGCATTTGTGTTTCCGCATTTAAAAACCTTATTTTACACACTATGGTAGAACTGTCAGAAATGCTCTGCTTTAAAACACATTCATCAAGGACTCAGAGGGGTTCACCTTCAGATATATCCAGTATTCAGAGAAACCTTTGCAAGTTCAAACTAATCCTCTCAAAGAAAGTTCCTTCCAGAGTCCCTGATCACTCTAATCGTTCAATAAACTATTGACTTCAATCAACATTGATTATGGGTTTTAAATAGTACTCTGTTACAAATCATTACAATGTAGCTTCAGCTGTGGACGCATGCGGTCCCCAGAGGCGGGCAGAGCACCGGCAGCGTCCCGTTACCTGCGGCGCGTCCGACAGGAGAGCAGCGGGTCGCGGGTCGCGTTCCGGCTCGCGTTCCGGCTCGGGTCCCCGGGGCAGCAGCTCGCTGGTTTGTAGCAGAAGGTGCACGGCATGGCGCTGACTGCTGCTGCCCGAGCTACACCGGCAGCGGCGGATAAAGGAGAGGCCACCGGAGCGCACCGGAGCGCACCGGAGGCGGTTCAGTGGGGCAACTGTGACCACATTTAGAATTATGAAACATGAACCGGGAGGGTGGAGGAGGGTGGAGGAGGGTGGAGGGACTGACAGGAGGCTCTCTGCTCCGCCCGCTTCATAGTAGACTGCTAAGAGTAGTAGCTTTCAGGGGTGCGTATGGGGGCCGAATCGTGGCAATTGTGAGTTTATAAATCCATTAAAGTGTGGGCAAATAAACGGGTAGCTTGATAACATAGATACATACAGTTCAATTGTTCTGTTTATAAAATAACATTTTAGGAAATTATATGTACTCTTGTATCTTTGTTGAATTCATATTTATAGTTTTATTACACAATGAGGGACAATTACATTTTTTTTTTCACAGTCTATAGCCAGTGTTTTTCTAGCAGCGGTTGTGTACCATGGTTCCTGTTTTAGCTTTCTAACATTTGCTAATAGCATAGCATTATTAGTACATTCTCTGATGTTATCAGATTCTCTCTGGAAGGAACTTTCTTTGAGAGGATTAGTTTGAACTTGCAAAGGTTTCTCTGAATACTGGATATATCTGAAGGTGAACCCCTCTGAGTCCTTGATGAATGTGTTTTAAAGCAGAGCATTTCTGACAGTTCTACCAAAGTGTGTAAAATAAGGTTTTTAAATGCGGAAACACAAATGCCAGGTGTCTGATGTTATCAGAGAATGTACTATTTTTAAAGAAAAATAATTCTAGGAGGTGAAATTTGACCAGCTGGTTGCGGTGGGGTAGAAGTTGATCAACAAAGTATCCAGAAGTTCTTCTGGGAACACGATCATCTGTACTCAATTTTACACCAATCCATTCAGTAAATGTGGAGATGATTCACCTGATTATTAAAACTCTGATCTCTCAGGGGATCACCATCATCTGCTGGAGACCTAAAATATCTACACCCAATGTCAAGGCAATTCATCAGATAGTAAAATAGTCGATAGTAGATTTAAAAAAAAAAAAAAACCTCACGGTGCCGGTACATGAACAGTCAGAGGATCAACACAGTCATTAGGATTCATCTTCTGGGACCCATTAATGCCTGCACAAAATGTATTGGAAATCCCTCCAATAATTGGAGAGATGTTTCAGTCCGGACCAGAGTTTCGGACCGACTCTAGCATGCTACAAAATGTCTGGCCGATATGACATCCATATTGGCCTTTATGAGTAAAAAGATACTGCAGTGCAGGAATGCCAAAGATGTGTTTTAGGTAATTTAGAAACACCCTTAAATAGTTTTTCCACCAGAGGGCACTGCCAAGCTTATTTTTCCAACTGTCAAGCGTCTCACTGGTGCAGTTAAGACGCAGCAAGAGGACATCAGGTTGGCTATAGACTCCCCCTGAGGACACAATGTTCTTTTCCTCAACACCATCCAATTTGTGTGTGAGGCCAGCGGAAGCACTCAGTAGATTGTTATCAGCATGTTCCCCATACCTCTGCTGCTATGAGACACTGTCACTCACATCCCCTGTCCTAGACTATTTGTTTGAGCTCCGTCAGATATGACAGCGTCTTACATTAGCTTACATACAAGTACATCACACAATGTACAAAGCAGCATGTGTTGACTGAGATGCAGTGTCACTATAAACACACACCCATGACTTCAAGAAAAAAAACTGCCAAGTATGCACAGCCGTCAGTCCTCAGTCATTAGTATCTCTTTCTTTCCCTCGTAGACCACATTATGTGACCCCCCCTCACGAGTGGTTACATAACCAAATGTTGTTTTATAAATAAAAAAAGCTGCATCAACCTCAGCTTCACCCTGTACTAAATGCGTGTTTAATTTAGACAAGGTGTCGCACACAGGCTCTCCTATAGTTTTCCTTCCTAACAGGAGTTTTCAATAGGCCTGTGCCCAGAGGAATCTCTCACTCTATAAAGTTCAGACTCTGAATGGACTCTGTGGGCTACACCCTTGTTGCTTCACCAGTGACTTCAGACACTACAAACAAAAACATGATCCATCATAATACAATCACACTCTGTAGCAGTATTTGTACATGCTGTTATGGCCCGATAATAGCCTACCGCTAGCCTTGTTCAAAACCTGTTTTAAAAAGGTCAATTCACACACCTAACCCCTTTCCCAAACTGTTGCTAAATGCGCCTATGTAGATATTTGACTTTTTGTAACTTTGGGCAGAATTGTGCTATAAAATATCAAACTGAAAACACAATAATTTTGTGTAAGCTGAATATTTGGCTGAGCAGTTGAACATCAAGGGGGGTGTCCTACTAAAGATCCAAATTCAGATGTCAGGGATATTCAGTGACGACCATGTGGTTTACATAATTTAATCAATTTAAGCTGGAAAGACAAAGTAAACCAGGACATAGACGGGACAGAGGGAAAAAATTAAGAAAGAGCGCAGTTGTTAAGACGTAAAGGCAGCTGTTCTGGTAACACAAATCTGAAAAAGGATTCACACAAGTGTTTCTGGATGTTGACAACACAGGGCAAACACTCCCCAGATTCTAGGAGACACAGGCCAAAAAACAAAACACTACAGTCCATCTGGAGGGAGAAATTTGGGCCCAAACCTCATGTGAACAGCGCCCTTTATGATTTCCCAAGATGCAATCTGATGTATTCAAATCACTTATTTTGTTCAACCAAAATACCACACCCCAAATATATTTTATTTACTATAACAAACAATTAATACACTTTCAAAATTGTTGCAAGTTCATTTTCTGCCATTAAACCACTCAACTACTCAGTATGACTGTGAATTACCTCACTACCATTGAAGCAGTGGATATGAAGTCTTTTCTCTGGAGGGTTTTCCTCCAGCTGCTGAGATTACTGAGGTCAAACCAGAGAATAAAGTAAGAGGAAAATTCAAAAACCCCATGTGTACTGTCACTGGGACATGTGACAGGCTAGTGATGGGTTTGTAACTATGGAGACTGTAAAACATCAACAACGCAATAATACTTCTCAAAGTGTCTGAGATAGATTTTCACAGTGCCCCGAGCCAAGACTTAGATGCTAACTTGTAATTCTGCTTCCTGGAGTCAAAGTGGGCAAAGATGATTTTGTTAAGTCACGATGGTTTGGGCGTCTACTCTTTACTTCAGCTGCAAATGTACTAGTGACATTAAAAGAAGCAGGAATAACAATGACATATCATATCAATAACAATCAAGTCAGAACCATATTAGGACACCATCTGGTGCCCCAAGTAGAACTTCCAAGAACAACTGGCACTGGGAGGCGGGGGGGGGGGATTTTGGAAACCACGATGAGTGAGTAGTGTTTTGGGGCTCAAGATCAAGTGTGCCTGGTTAAAGCACCATCCCTGACCCACATGATCTTGCTTAAGCCTCTAGATCTCATGTCAAAGCCAAGAACTTGTTTGAGCGCCTGACTTCAATACAAAACATGTTGAATGCACGGTACAGCCTCCTGCTCTGTTTTTCCAGCGTTCTAAAGCACAGTATATACAGCAACTACTGATGTAGGTAAGGTCAAGCCCCAGAGGGCTAGGGCTGAAACCGAATACTAATGAGGGTTTGAACTTACTCTGCCACTGATTACGCAACCAACACCTTTGTAAACCTCGCCTTCTACATTCACATGACTGACGTTTAGAAGCTCTGTGTAGAGTTTGGTGTGTCCCATACAGTGTTAGCTGTAAAATAGGAATGTCAATAAAAGGTCCATTACAGGCTGAGAAGTTTACACTTAGACATAGCATGGGCAAGTGGAGTGGTGAGGGTGAATAACTCATCTGAGCATCGAAAAGTTATCATTCCTCGCCTCTGGCAGAACTGCCGGCATATTTAAGAGCAGTAGGTTTCTTTCAGCAACACAGTAAAAACAAAGCTAAGCCTATTTATCTCAGCCTGAGACATGATAAGGCAAGTTCAGAGCTTAAGAGGCGAGGCCTGATCCAGTGCCCAAGGACAACAGGTGCACAAGTCAATCTTACCTAGACACTTGTGACGCATTAATACCTCTAATCTTACAGTGTAAATTCAGGTCTTTATTAATCGAGACCTTATTTTTCTGTGTATGTGGCTTTGTAATCAACTACGTAATGTATACAGAGCATTTCTTTTCATACCCATATCAGTTATGCGTATATTTACTCTCATTATATCCCAGAGCTGACAACTTCCACTGTTTATGTTATATTACATTACCCAGCTGTGCATGTAATGGGGCATGGGCAGTCAGCCAGCAGACAAAAAATGAGGAAGTGCTAAAGCAACAACCAAGCAAGTGTCAAAACTGTAACATGGCAGAACTCAGGTCTAATAATTACAGGGTGGGAAATTAAAAAAGTTTTAATTTTGAAGTTTGTATTTTTGCACCCATGCAAGTGGGACAAACACAACTCTATAACTGAGCAATTGAAGAGATTTTGGATGGCAAACTAAAGCAAATAGGCAAGAATAGGCAAACTAAAGTAGAAATAAGTACTTTAAAAAGTCTAAAAACCATAGATTATGATAGTCACTGAAAATTTGGTGGATCAAATTTGGTAGCATCGGAACATAAAAATTTGGAGCTGAATAATTGTGCAAATGTTTAACACGATTAAGAGTCTACAGTCATGCTAGCAGTTCTGTAAGGCACAGCTATGCTTTGAGCTTAACATTTGCTAATTAGCACCAGACGCACAGTATAGCTGATGCTGATGGGAATAATTTGTAGGCATCTGTACATAAACCAAAGTATAATTTTAATTTTGACCTGATGATGGAAGATAAAACATTATATAAGGAGACATGAATGTGTGTACCAAAGTTCATGCCGATGCACTGAATCCAAACATTTGGAATCAAACGGAGTCCAACCATTCTACTAAAAATCAACTTCATGGTGGCACTAGGGGAAAAGTAGTAGGATACTTCATGTGGTAAACCAATTGACACGATAAATCTCTAGACTTATTATGGAATCAATTAGTAGATTTGGACTGTTTCAACCCGGAGACCAAGATGCTTGTGGACTGGAAGATGAATAATATAAGTAACAACTCAAGCAACTCCAGTGAGGTTCTAGTAAGCTCAGAGACTGGACTGAAATATCAGCACATACTGTATACGTACATTTTGCTAAAAGTTAAATGCATACTGTATGATTATTTCCTTTTGGAGAGAAAACAGGGAGCCAAGACTAATTAGGAGGAAAGCAAAAAAGGAGAGGCAGAAGAGGATGAGACACTACAAAAGGGCCTCTGCCAGGAATATGTGCCAAGTGCCCATAAGGGGGACCTTTATTTTGACAACAAGTCTTGGATCTGACATAGTTCTACTGTGTGGCTTTAAATAGATAATAAAGTTACAGTAGAGTCAAATAACTTGGGGATGTTTAGATGAGACACCTGTAAATAAACATTAGCTTATTAAATGTATTTCAATGCATGTGATTTTCTCTACATTACAGGAGAGTTGCTATTATACAGCTGACCATGTGATCTAACATAATCATCATATATGGACTCAAACATTCACATTATGCTAAGAACAAATGCAGGAAATTTAAAGTCAGTGTCTTCTTTTGGCAAAATGTCATGTACACTTTAGCATATTTCCACTTACACAACCTTTCAATGACTTCATCTGGTTGTCCAGGACATGATCCCAAATAAACCTGAATAAAACAGACTAATTAAGGATCTAAACCAAAGGCCATCACCATGATCTACCAAACACAGTCTCAAACAGAACCCTGGTTATCTCTGCTTCTATGGAAACAAAAGCAGCCCTTGGCAGAACAGTGTATCCACAACAGCAGCACCACTCAAAAAAAAAAAAAAAAAGAAGTGAAGCATGGGCCCATAACAGTACTATTTTGCTGCCCTCTGTTGAGAGTGGAAATTACCTTAAATTGGGCAGATGGAGCTAGCAAAACACAGAGTGTATAGAAGTAAAAGTTATACTGAGTTTTCAGGTAATAACACTAAACATCTCAGTTTAGATGATGAAATTGCAGTGTTGATGTACCTGTCTGCGTGTATAAACCAAACATAGGGCAGAAATTTGTGTTTGTGTGTTTGTATGCGTCGTCCCTCGGTGGCTGGTGATGGTGTGTCAGCTGTATATTTCTCTAAAAACAGTTTCATTTCCTGCCACTCAGATATGGTTTCCCGTGCTTCCCTTTTTCATTTTTGTAAAAGACATCATGAAAATGTTGACGGCGCTCTCACCAAATGTTGGTATGAGCATGAGGGCAGAGTCAACAACCTATTCAATAGCTCAATGATGAATTTAAAATGTAACTGTGAAATAAAGTCATTTGACAGAAACAGTGACACAGTGGAGAGTGTTGCACTAGAAACCCGGCCGTACTCAAGCTGTTATTTAAATCCTGTGTTACAGACAGCATGCACACACTCTTCAGCCTCCACCATTCACTTGATAGCTAAAAGCAACAAGTTAGGGTTTTTTTTAAGGATGTTACATTTTTCAACAGTATTATTTTCATAGTTTTGGCCATTTTCTATAAAGTCTCAAAAACATTTTACTAAACAAATTACCTGCTGAGATCTTGGGCATTGAGATTATAATGGAGTCAAATACTGAAAGCAACATGTGCAGTCAGATAATCTGACAGGTTGCAAACAAACTGTTACCAGATTACTTACTGGGAAGTGAAATTTCATGTGAATGATACAATCATTGCCAAAAGTACCTTTTTAAAATGTCTATTACACTGCGGCACCATTTCCTGCTTCAACTTTGATCATCTTGTCTGTATGTACAGAGCCTGAAGTTTACAATGACAATTAGGAGGGATATTTTAGGCATGTTCTTTGTTTTTACTTCCAAATAATTTAGCTCAGATAATTGGGCTTAGAGCTGAAACGATAAGTCAATTAATCGATTAGTTGATTGACAAGGCCAATATTGATTGAGATATTTGAGGGTTTAAAATATCTGATAATATATTGGCCGATAGTATTTTTCTTAACGTAAACAAACCATCCTAATATTGATCCCTTAGATTTTTGGGGTTTTTTTTTGACCAAGATATATACTAAGTGACAGTTGAAAAATCTACTTGCTCTCTGGTGGACAAACTCTGTACAGTATGTTCTGTTCTGTATATATGGGCTTAAGTAATCTATCCTTTATATCGTTGTGAACTGAATACCTTTGGGTTTTTGACTTTATCTTCACCTTAATATCGAGGAATGTTATAGACTAGGCTAAATGATTAATCGATTAAAGGTCCAGTGTGTAGGATTTAGTGGCATCTAGCGTTGCAGATCGCAGCTCCCTTCCAAGAGCAAAGGACAAACTATGGTGCCTGTGAAAAACGCCAACGGCCCTATCTCCAGCCAGTGTTTGGATTGGATTACTCCATCAGAGATGGCCCAGGACCATTCATTGAAAAAATATTTTGATAATCCAAATAATCATTGGTTGCAGCCGTAATTTGGTTCAACTTGTTTATAATTCGTTGAACTGTCTGTCCACTCGCGTATTGGATTCGGTACTATTCTTTGTCCCTGCACCCAAAGGTCTCAGCAATAAGGCTGGTACATATGACAATAGAGACGGCGGCCAAACGTGTGAAAATAACAGCCAGGCAGTAAACAAACCAGTACTTTTACGTGACACAGACAATATGTACTGTTACAGAGAGAGAGAGCGTGTCAAAGAAAGCACCAGACACAGAAGCTGGGAGAAAATTACAGACAGAGAGACAGAGATGTTGTTGAGAAGTCTATTGGCCAATCCTGCGCTTGCTGCCAGGCTTTGTTTCCAAACTCAATCCATGCACGTGGAGAAAAGCAAAGCTCACTGCTACTGAACACTGCACACATGTTGTTACACTCTTGCAGGCCTGTCCAGCCCAATCCAGTAAAGTACTGTACCTATCACTGTGGGCCTTTGAGTCCCTTAATCTGCTGCCAGACTGGAAGGCCTGGTAGAAAGCCTTGGAGGGGTTCCTGTGTCACCCACATTCAGGGAAAGAGAGAGGAGACAGAGATATGGAAGAGTTGAAACAGTGATAGCAAACTAAAGATTCCTAGAAATGTTTCCTTACGCAACTTAATCCCCCCCTCTCGTATGGTGCAGTTAACTTGGCTGGAAAAAAAGGCTCTTTCAATAAAACATATAGGACATTCAAACAGAGGAAAGCAAAGGGGCTGGGGAAAGGGCGTCTTGACATTAACACAGGAATGGTATGTTCAAAGGTAGGGGCAGATTTGTTCAGGCCTCCCTCACGTTTTATTCCACGCAACCAAACACACAGTATGAAAAACAAATAAGAAACTGTAATCCTTCTCAGTTGATAACTGTGTTGAGAAAGGACTCGTTCGTTCACGCGGTTGAAGTGTACATTGGTTGACTGTCTTGGTTCAAATACTGTCACGTTATGGAATTTATCTTTACCTCCTATGTTCCTGGTGATTAGCTACAAGTACACTGTGTTCTATGCCAAGGGAAGGGGTATAGTCGGGAAGGGGAAAGGAAATCCCCACACTGACCCCTACACACACGCACACACACGCACACACACTCCTTTAATCTACTCCAGGCTCGTGCCTCTCCAAACTAACTGCTTCTCTCCCACATTCACACAAATGTAAATGCACACTTTAGATTACATGAGCATATGCACACGTACACAAATACACGCAGGCAGGCAGACACACACGTACACAAATACACGCAGGCAGGCAGGCAGGCAGGCAGGCAGACACACACACACACCACACACACAACACACACACACACAACACACACACACACACACAACAACACACACAACACACACACACCACACACACACACTCACCACACAACACACCCATGTGTGTGAATCTTATAGCAGCCAAGGCTCTTTTCCTAGAAATATCTGGCACAAACTCCCTTTGTCACATTACCTCATGACTAAACACTCTCACAAACCTCCTCCTATGCCTCTGCTTAATTTTACTTTGCGGGCTATGCCGCAAGAAAAACCTACACACACGCGTGGCAGGCCAACACCTCCACAGAAAACCTCTCGTTTTCACATATAGACCTCAGAGTTCTGTAGAAGCCATCTATCGGCTGAAATCATGGAGATCAGATGACTTGGAGTCCAGCAACCTCTTCATGAATGAGGTAAGAACTGGGGGAGTCATCATTCCCCGTTTTCAAGTAGCAAACACTCGCCTCTCAATGGCTCTCTTTGTAACTCTAAAATGTAACATGTCAATATCCATTTATGAAAGCCCCTCTTTGTAAAGCAACTAGTCAGTGTGTTCGGCAGTGGGGAGAGTACCATCTTCCTCATAAACCCCGAGTGTGGTGTTCGAGAAGGACACAAAGGCAGGGAGTAACCTATCAGATATGTACACACAGGAGCAAAATCCCCTTTTCCTTTTTCTAAACCCCTCTCAAAGCACATGAGCTAACCTGACACACAAACGGCTCGTGCACATGCTCAGGCTTTGCCCGATACAGCCCCAAAGCAAACCTATGACCTGGCAGCAGAGAAAATAACCTTTTGGTGCATTCTTGCTGGTTGATGTCACACATGTAACTGGAGCATGACACATGGTTTTTTCCTCAAGTGTGCCTGTCAAATATTCATTTTCACAGAGTTGAAGCGCTTAATAACCTTGCTAACTCGTTGACCACGAGTAATCCCACAGTGGCTTTAAGTGACGAGGAGGGAAACGAGAGTAAAAGAGAAAATGGGAGAGAGCAAAGAGCGAGAGGAAGAAAGAGTACACAGAAAACAGAAGTGTTATAATAGACCTCCGTGTTAAGGTGTTGCAGAGGCGTCGTGCATTGGCTCAACCGGAGGTCCAACCGAAGCTGACACGTAGCTTGCACTCAGCTATGCAAGCTACAGATACCATGTGAAGACCAAGTACAGCCTTTGGTCAACTTGGGCTGCTTATGTTTTCAGCGCCAGTGGAGTAGCTGTAGCAGGCTAGCAAAGCCATTTCCAGTGCAAACCCTTGTGATTGCTTTACTGTGGTCTTAGTGTTTCAGGGCAAAGTAATTTGGAGTCTGGGGGTGCAAAGGGATAGGTTGAAAAGAGGGTGTTGAAAACTCCCACTGTTGGTGCTCATGAGGCGTCGGGTTCTCTGCACCATCCGTCTGCCACAGAACAGAAGTAGGTCAAAACTATTTAGATTTCAGCTGCCCTATGGGAGTTTCTATCAGTGGGTTTTGGGTTGTAGACGAGGGAGCTGGAGTACAGGGAGGATCCAGACTCACTATACGATTACAGCATGGCCGACAGAGGAGATCGGGAGGTTGGATGCTAACACTCCACTAGCACAGGTTAGTGCTATCCCCATGATAACCACAGGAACTTTTTGACTGTGGGCCGTAATTCCCTAAAAAGCCCCTTCTTTCAAGGTACTTTCAAGGTACTTTTAAGGAAACTGGTCAAACACAAGCTGCTTTATGTACAGATCACATTTAAGCTACAAGCAGGCACTGTTTGTAGCAATTTTTTTTTATTTAAAGTGAACAACAGCCAACTTCCCATAACTTAAAAACTAGAGAGATAATGAGAGGAACTGGGTGAGCAGGACTGTAAGTGCGAGAAACTGAAACCTAAAGTGGATCTGCTTATTCTTTCATTGCCATACTGTTGATGGGGGACTTCTACACTTACAAAGTCTGTTTACATGTGTTGAGTACAAATACATATGTGACAAAAGTTGTTTATATTTGTGTCTTCAGAGGGAGCGCGATGTCTGATAAATTGACTCAAGTGATGTCACCTGAGTCAGTGTCGGTTGGGGCTGAAGACTACCAGTTTGAAAATGAAAAAAAAAAAAATTGTTGGTGTGGAGGTCTGGAGCTAACCAGACCTCTGTAGCCCGCTCCTCATCTCTGCCTGAGGTTAGCACACGAGGCTACATTAGCCGCCACTCGACGTAACACACCCAAATAAATCCTCAAAACTAAACAGTCCCGGCGGGTTCGAGTGAACATTTGTGGGTTTAATGTAGGTTTTCACTTTTTAAAAGAAAAAAAACCCCATGTTCCTTGGTGTTTTGGAGACAGCATCCTCTTGCATTTTAAGCATTTCCTTTTGGGCATATTCCAATAATTAATGTTGGACACTTACAGCAGCTACAAGTTAAAGAAAAACATGATTTAACATCCTCATGTCCGCTTTGTTTTTCTCAATCACACCCGCAAAAAATTAGCAGTCAGTTGCTTTTCAATCAGTTTATCCTATATCTTGCTTATATTTCAAAAAGCACAAAATGACAGCTGAAGGAGCTTTAATAAAGATTTTAATTTTTTCCAAAACTATTGGTCTGCCAAAGAACAGAAAACGACCAATTACATAAATAACTGAACCAAAAACTAATAAAAAGGGACTCTGGTGTTACTTCTTTATAGAGAAAATAAGTAAAGTTAAGTAAGTATAGATAATAAAGTAAATATTATAAATAATATATTGAAAATAATATATACTATTATATATATTATATATAATATAATACTTCGATATACTATATGGCGTCATCAGTTATATTATATATATATATTACTATATATATATATATATATATATATAGAGAGAGAGAGAGAGATAGAGAGATAGAGAGATAGAGAGAGAGAGAGTTTGTGTGCAGCCGGTGGAAAGCCAGAAGTAGAAAACAGCTGAAAAGTGCGTCTTTGTTATATTTCAAGTCACTTAAGTGCTGCTTTCCAAAAACAAGATAACGAGCATATTCTCAGCTAAGCTTATCTACAGCGCAGTACAACACATCCTTTAAACAAGCCTTTAAAACCTTGGACTGAGTTTCTGATGTTCTTCTGCTTGTCAGCGCCTCCGTACCTGGGGTGGAGGGACTAACTGAAGCAAAAAGCTAAACAGACACCATTCTCTACTCTAAAAAGCTACAGAAACACATACCGTACACAGTTAGTGGTTGGAGAGTTCAGGGCAGGAGCAGAAGATTAATTGTTACACTATTGCTACATGCACTCAGTTGTTACTTTATTAGTTACACCTAGCTGAAGCAAATGCCCTGCAGTAAAGCCTATCTTTACAAAGATTATGATGTTCAGTTTAACTGTGTAGGGGAGGTGTTTATTCTCTGTTATGGTCACAGGGGAGGGTATTGTTCGTGCTGCTGCTGAAGAGTACTGCATTATAGAAACACCTTTCATTATTACACAGTTACAACAACAAAAAACATCACATCCTTCATGAGGGTGGGATGTATTGAAGAGCTGTTGTTTTGGACTGCTTTAGCATTAGCTAGGTGCACTTCAGAGGGGGGCAAGAGCCTACCATTTAGTCTAAAATGTGGACATGACAGATTAAGTTAGATTTGTTAATTGATGTTTTTTTTAATACGTTTTGTTTTAAATAATTAAAATGCGTGTGTTAAATTTGATATCATCTGACACTAAACTGGGGTGACAGTTGCCAGGTAACTGTATTTTTATTCTTCACATACTAGATGTGGTGCTGTACCATTCAAAAAGTATTAAAGCATGAATGGTGGCTCTTTACTACTCTTGGCCAAAGAAAAGAACAAAGATAAGGTGAGGACTTGTTCCTCTGTGAGGCACTCTGGATAAAATGTGCCCACCGAATGCCATATGATATGACCCGAGAGCCCCAGTGCGGAAGCAGGGAGAGAGCTAAGGAATATTAAATGAATAGAAGGCGGAGAGCAGCGTTAGGGACTCCGACTGAAAACAGGATACAGCAGTAAAGCAGAGGTCAAAGAAGGGAAGGGAAAGACCCTGTGCTGTCTCTCTGTGTCACTCTCTCACACTTCCACCATGACTAAAAATGCATACGCTGTGTTCATGTCTATGGTGAGTGAGTATGTCCAAAAGCAACGGCTCCATTCCTCAGTGAGTGGCCCCCACCCCCCACATGGATACTTTAGCACACACTGAGTCAACCCATCCCCTTTTTAAAAGACACACCCCTCATCCACCCACACAGACACAGTCTCTCGATTCACAGTGGCAGAAACTGCTCCACTACATCGCAGGCCGTGACTCCCCTCCCGTCTCCTACCTCCTGAGGAGTCCAATTTTACACAAGCTCCCATTATGGGAGGACAATAAACCATACCTCCCCGGCCTGAGCTCAATTACACACAGACTACGGATGCAATACATTTATGCAAATGGTCCAGCGAAACAGAGACAAACAGACAATCGACCGATGTTATTTTACGTCTTCGGTTGTTGAAGCCATCTGGGAAACATTAAGCTGAGCGAATCATATTCTAAGTATGAGAACAACATCTTTAGTCTCTACTCTGTATCTCCACTGTTCACTTTAATTACTTGCAGGGAAAACTACAGGGTGGAGGAAGACGGGGACAGACGTTACCAAATGGCCGAGAGAGGTTTTCCAGGTTGTGCAAGCTGTGTGAAAAAGGCCCACAACCTCTCGTAACATGGAGTCACATCTGTGTGCATGTGTGGCTGCATGTGCATGTATCTTTCTGTGCTCTACACACTGCACTTATTAACTACTGAAGTAGTCCGTTTGAGGAGAAAATGGAAGTGTTTTTGTTGTGTGGTGTGTGGGGCAGCGAGAGGCTAAATAAACAGTGCAGTGGAAATGTAGAAATTAAGCAAGAGACAAAAAGAGCCGGGGGAGGGAGGGCCGGGGGTGTACCGAGCATAGCTAAAATGCCTGCTGAAGTGAGGCACAACAAGTTTCGCTCTGCAGCTTCCTCCACCTCCTTTGAGCATACCACAGTTGCTGCTGCAAAAGAATGTCATTCAGCACTTCATCTGAACATGAACAACTGCCATGCCATGTCTGTCAGTCAATCGGTGGGGCGGTAGGTACAAAGCACCGACTGCACTGATGCTGCACCAGCGGCAAAGACTCTGAGGCTGCAGCAGCAGAAAACACCAGTGGGCTGGCGCTCTGAGAGACGTGTTCAACGTGCCCACAGCTCTGACAGGGGGAGTGAGTGCATGTTTATCCACGTCCAAAGGCCTTGAACAGAATATACAGTCATTTAGCACACACTGTGTTGCAAAAGAAAAGGACCACGGCGTGACAACTAGCACAGTTGGTTGACACACCCCACTGTCAGGTCTCTTATCGGCAGAATAGAGGCACAGTGGAAAGACTACTGCTCAATGTCTGATAGGGCCGGGCTGTCGTAAGAGACCCCTTGCTCTTATCAGCCTGGGAGCTGGGCCCTCTCACGTGCAATACATAGGTACTCTGAAGTCAGTTGCATTGTCACAAACCTAAATAATGTTTTAAACGGCACAACTGGCATCAAAGTAAACTAACTAACTAACCCGGCCTGTTGTTAAATTAACTGTCAAATTAACTAAGAGATCACGTGTTGAATCAGGTGAATATAAAACAGCTGAAATTGTCTGAACTAAGTGTTTGAATAGTTCGTTTTTGTAAATGCTGCCTGAAACAATACTTTGGGACTTTTTAAGGAACTCTTTCATTGTCTAACCTAGAGGTTTACAAACTGCGAGGGTGGCCGCGGATGGGGAGACGTGAGGTGAAAGGAAAGGTGTACACTGGTGTTATGAAAACAACAGGATTTTAGTTATTGTATTTGGCCCGTTGATGTGACTCGCTTATCAATACAATCAACCGTTGGAGCTACAGCAGTGGCTGCGGCACACAGCTCATGGAGGCAGTTATGGAACTTAAAAACCCTCGGCGCCTGATTGTGGCAATTTGCATCAGTGTGGCCAACATTTTCAGAGGATGTGATTCTCTCCCACTGCAAATAATAGATCTGCTAATCATAATCACGAATCAAGAACTGCTAATGGCTCATTCAGCGTACCTTTCAGACGCCAAATTACCAAAATGTAAATAAATACCGGATAAACGCAAACAGACTCAACAACTCCTGGTCTTAATTGCCAAAGCTGGTTCTGTACTGGCCATGCATTTTAAAGGCATCATCCCTTGGTCATCAAACCACTGATGTATCATGTTAGGAAGGTGTAAAGCAAAGAAACAGAAAAGCAAAGCAAATAAAGTCTGGATCAGAGAATGATCAGTGTAAGCGTCCCTGAAGTGCATGACATACAAAACACTGTTTAACCCACATGTGAGGAAAAGTAGTGCCAGTGTTGTGCAGTCTGCGTACCCTGTCTGGTCTACACTACATCTGTAACAGTGTCAATGGAAACCGCTGAGAGATTTCAGGCACTGTATCATTTCCGTTCATGTGTGCCATCTACTACAAGTGAAACAAAGCACTAAGGCTCAGGAATTGAGAGAGATTATTTTTGGAAAGGAAGCCAATGCGGGCCTATAATAGTCTCATAAAAAGAATGATACCATTATTTCTTATGAGCCATTTTTACACAAATGTAGTTATATTCAGCCATTTACAGACAAAATTGAATTATCCTGAACGAATAATCCCAAATTTCAGTTTCTTCATTCATATTTCCTCTACCATGATTTCCGCTGTGGGTTATATTTATCTGTATGAATTTTTAGATTCAGTGTGACATACTGTTTCACAGGATATCATTATCTCTGGTGTCCATTCACGAATAAATGTCCATAAATACGCTTAGAAAACAGAGATTAAAAGAAGAAGCCCCTAATAGCTGCAGATGGGGTTTTTTTCTTCAGTTATGCATTATGAGTCTGTGCAACCTAACATTCAGAAACATAATATCTACAGTACAAAGTATGAAACAGTTATTTCAGCCAATACTCTAAAACCCTTTGTAAACATTCCTGAGGGGAGCCTGATGGGGCTGCGAGTGGAAACCGTGATATCATAAATGTGGCAACACAAAATCAAACGCTCTTGACTGTGTTTGTATTAGAATGCCTTTTTCCGGAGCAGGAACTAACTTATTAAAAAGGTCAAGCATCAACATGCTCACCAAGTGGCTAACAGAAGGCTGAGCTACCTCTACGCACAGTAGCAACCAACAACTCGTCTTTGATGTTCGCGGCCGAGGCCGTCGCCTCAGACACTGTCCTGGAGAATGAGAGCTTGAGTGGGAGGAAAGGGATGTTGGAGACATTAGACCTGCAGCAAAACACGTTTCTACACACATAACACACACACACACACACACCCTCACACACAAAGAATCGCAGCATTACTGGAGTCATGTGTATCTTAACATGTCGTTGCCTGTGCGGTGAAAGCACTGGGTGTTCTCCTCAAGAGTGCTACACTCCACTTACTTCTTTAGGCCCTAATGAGAAACAACAAACATTAAATTTCCTTCCTTTGTGCCACTTCTCTTCCTTCTACGCACTCCCGTCCCTCCGTGCCTCCCGGAAATAAAGAGGAAAACCCTGTTTGTTCATCTGACCAACTAAATGAGCAGCCCTCATTGCCTTGGCGACGGTTGTCTTTATACCTTCTTGTGATCACAGCAAATGGCCCAAACTGCCTGCAGCTTCTCCCCAACTGTACACTGAACTGGGCAGTTCGGCCCTACACTGACTGTGATTGTTCAAACTGTGTGTATTATGGATAAGGTTGCAGAGACATGGTAATGGTAGTCAACGGGGATACGAATTTTCTAACATGAAACATAGTTACTTATTTTAGTAATGGTTACCTGTCCACATCCCCGTCCACAGGTATGTGGATTCCAAACAGGCTGTTGACGGTTGGAGTGGCGAGCTGCAGGCTCTCAGGCATGAAGGGCTTCACCGGTTCCTTCCCAGAGACAAAAGGAGACTGTGCGTTGACGAGACCCTCTGATTTCCCTCCGCTACCACCCTCCACGTGTCCAAATCCAGTTGTTGGGTGGCCCTGCACCCCCAAAACCACTAGAGTCTTGCTGTGGGCGATCTGACTTGGAGGCAAACTGGAGGCTGTCACATTTGGCATGGCTGCACTGGAGGCACTGGGCACAGCAGCGGGCACAGTGGTGGGCACACTGGAGCTCACTGCGATGGCAGGCACATTTTGTACAACAGAAGATGTAGGGTGGAGGCCGTGGGGTTGAAGCTGTCCAGGCGCTCCATACTGACTCACAGCCTGCTGCTGCAAAGCGGATCCACCGGCCAGTATGGAGCCTGCGATACCGATACCTGCCATTAATCCAGGCTGCTGCTGCAAGAGGCCTGGGGCTGGCTGTCCCATAGGGGCAGATCCCCCCACCGCTCCCGCAACATCTCCAACCTGGCTTGGCACAGAAGCCCCTCCAGAGGCTGGCGGCAAGACCGCCGCGGGTCCTTGTCCCACAGGCTGTGGCCCCGCAGAGAGGCTGGACACCGGGAGGGACTGGCCAGCGGTCAGCACCGGCTGCATGGAAGCGGGTTGTTGCTGCTGATAGTACTCCGACGGGCCGCTCAGGTGGTGGCCAATGGGAAGCTGTTGATGCTGAGGAGGGTAGGCGATGGGCTGGGCTGAAGGAGGCATGATGGGGGACTTCTGTATGTGGACACCAGATTGTGGCAGGCCGTTTTGTCCAACAGGCAGCGCGCTCTGGGGAGCAGCAGGCTGGAGCCCTCCCACCGCTGGCTGAGCTGGGACAGATGTGGGCTTGCTGCTGGGGAAAGCGCTCTGTGTGGTCGACCCACTGAGACCCTGTTGCCGGACGCTGTAGTTTTGATGGTGGATCTGTTGCTGCTGCGGTAGCGTCTCCACCGCGTGCATGCGGGGCGACGAGAGAGAAGCATCCGCCACAGAGCCCAGGCCCTGACCCGAGTGTGTTGCCGGGGCAACCACAGATCCTCCCGTGTGCCCGAGCCCACTGTCTCTGTCTGCAGCAGGGTCCAGTATGGCACTGGCATGCTTTATGCTATCTACAGTCCTACTAACAACAGAGGCCTCCGAGTCTTTCTCATAAAACTCCGTACACGTCCACCTGCCTCTCCGAAAGGGCTCTCCAGTACCATGATCGAGTTTAATGACCCTGAAGCGTGAAGTGCAACTCACCGTGGAGGAGGCGGGAGCTGGAGCTGGACTGGGCACTGCAGCAGGTTGGGATGTGTTTACTGACACACTGGCTGGCCCGGCTGGAGCAGGCTGTTGCTGCATTGCCCCAGGCTGGGCAATAAGGGGTAAACCAGGTGTAACGCCAACCCCCGCTGGTTGCTGACCACCTTGACTTGAGCCCGACACTCCAACTTTTCTGAACTCCACAATGGGATTGTTTGACAGCGCAGACAGCTGACCGGGTTGAGGTATGTGTGCTGGTGCCGTAACAACCTCTGGCTCGCCGACATTATTCAGGGCTTCTTCAGATGAGCTCCTGTCACACGCAGGCTCGTACTCAGCCCGCGACATGTCGTATATCTCCGACGACACATCTTCAGTCCGCGACTCGTCCGGGTCGTCCAGACTCTCGGTGTCGTCGGCGGCACCTATAGCCGCCACCTGGGCCTGTGTCACACTGGTGATCTGGAAACAGCTCTTCTTCTTGGCTGGCATTTTCGACATATTGACAAGCCTGATTCCAGGTCCCGTATGGCTATGTTGATCCTGTTGTCAGAAAGGGACGAGCTGGTTGCAGCTTCGAAACGCTCAGATCATATTAAACAGCACACTTTCCTCTGCTTTACTTAGCTCTGCTAGCTGTAATGGAGATGAATCTACGCCATCCCTCTTCCTCTCTCGGTCTCCTGTTGCGTTTCATGAGCTCATAACGCAACGCCACACTTTCCTCCTCGTCTTGTCCAGCAATGCGGCTTTAGACACGGATACCAGCAGCCTGTACGACGGTGGACCCGCGGCTCTCGCTCGGTCCGGACCGGCCTGCTGATGTCCCGGCTGTGCAGTTGTCAGACGGCCGTTGTCGCAGTGTGTTGCCCAGCTGCAGGAGCTACTTTAGGCGGAGGAGGGCCCGCAGCCCTCCACTCACTGAGCTAGCTAGCAAGTCAAGCCAACTGGCTGCTGCACACTCCCCCTACGTCGGAACAAGTATGTGAGACATCTTCCCGAAAGCAGCCCTTTGTACCCGCTCACTCCACCGGCTCCACGGTCATTGGGTGGCGACGCTTCCTCGGCGGCCGAGGGAGGAAAGCGCCCTGAATGTAACGCTTTACAACAACCGAGGGTCTGAGCAGCGCCTACAGTTGCCTCCCTCACTCAGTCACTCTTGACAAGATGGCTATGTTGTATGCAACCGCGCTGCATCGTGGGTAGGTGGAGTGCGCAAGGATGTTCACGTACGAGACGTTAGAGAATCCCCCCCCTCCCTCCCCTCTCGCCGATGCTGCGTTCAGGACACCGTCGGAAAGATTGGAATTAGCATGCGCGCGTAAGGTGGTCGCAATACAATGAGAGAAAGTGAACGTTTTCTGACACAGTGGGAGTCAGTTCTTTGATACTACCGCCGCTAGTGTACATGTTTTTTTTGTCCCAGTTGATGTCTGTAGTCTTTGTTCATACTGGTAGTTTAGTCTCTGGGGCAAAAAAAGAGCAGCTGATTGTGCTGGAAAAAAGTTGAGTAGTCCACAAGAAATGAATCTCGGGAAATTCAGATGATCGATCATTTGAGTCAATTTTCAAGCAAAAATGCAAAAATATTCTCTACGGTTCCAGCTTCTCCAGTTTAAGTATTTGCAGCTTTTAAATTGCTTTTGGTTTTGTCCTGTAGGTCAGACAAAATACACAAACTGAAGACAGTTCTGGGAAAGTGTATTGGCATTATCTGATAATAATCTCACTATTATTAGACATCTTGTAGACCAAACAATAAATCAATGAATCAAAAACATAATTGGATGTATAGTATGTTATGTTATGTTATGTTTAGTTATGTTCCTCACGGTCTCTGTGCAACGCTCATTCTGTGCTGGAATAGTTAGATTTTCTGTGTTGGTTATTCCTAAATTAATGTTTGGAATACAGAAGTGCCAAACTGATATGATGAAGGTCTAAAAACTAGACTGTGTTTTTATTGAGGCTCAGGGACTCTCTTCAAGACAGGGCCCTAAGATCAGGTAACATAGCAGAAGTCACCTTAACAAGTCCATTCATTTTGTCTTTAATTGGTCATCTTCCGAAACATTTTTTTAGTTTAAAAGCACAAAACCAGATGCTAGTCATAGCAACTAATGATGGAAATAGTAAAAGAGTTAGTTATTATTAAGTATGTGCAGCGTGTGTGGACATTTGATGTTATACATTTTTTAAATAAACATCAGTGACATTTTCTCTGCACTACAGCTCAGAAAAAACTGGAAATGCTTTAATTCTAAAACACAGAGAACACCAGAATACATGCAGCATACGTTTACTTTGGTTAGTCTCTTCTTTCTCTGACCTATCTATTACCAAGTTAGTCCCTTTAACCATAAAGGTCCGATTTTATTGAAGTGTACTTAAAGGCATCATCTCTCTTTCACCCTCCCTCGCTCTCTCTCTAGGTATTTGTATATGCTGCAGTGTTACTACAGTATATACCAGCCGATGTTCAGAGTACTCCTACAGGAGCCTATAATGGAGTGGTTGAACAATAACCTCATGAAAGATATCACAGGGTCCTATAGCCTAGGTCTTGCTTTGTGAGGGTGCTTTGTTAAACAATTCCTTGTATGCAATACCTGCAATTTTGCAGTCATGGAACAGATCATAAGAATAAGTAGGGGTACTACAACTCAGCAACGGTCCCACAGCCTTTCATTTGAGCATGCATTTCATAATCAACATTTTGAAATGCACTTAACATGGATCAGTATGCCTGCAACCTGTCTGAAAGAGTGTATGGGAAGGTTGGTTTTAAGATACACCCACCAAATTAAACTGTATTGTGCAAAGAAAGGTTAATAGTTCTCTATTTGTTCAGAAATTCAAGATTGCTGATGCAAAGCTATTATTCACAATACAGCATAGTTCAGTTTATCTGCATATGCATGACCTTCAACACAGGTTATAACATTTTATTCTGATTGTTTAAATTGGAATTTCTAATTAATATAGATTACACATTTGCTTTTTTTTTTTACAAAGGGGTTTATTTGGTTGGTTCTCAGGTATCATAACAGTCAGCATATACAGTAAGTGATCACAGAACTATTGTATTCTTTACCAATTGGTCAAGCTGACATTTTAAACATGTTATGGAAAGCAGCATGTTGACAGGTGTATTGAGAAGAGGTTGATATGCCTCATGCATGAGTAAGTCATAGCACTGCATTACCTCTGCTGCCTTTGGCGAGGTGAAAAAGTGAACACTATGGGCCCATTTGTCATCAAACAGTCAAAAAGCAATGAATTACAACATGACAAACTTTATCAAGCATGTGACGTGATGTGCTTTACATTTTGGGTGTCGTATCAATCGATCAACCAGAATGCCAGTTTCAGTTTGGTGTTTTTATTTTCAAAAGGGATTTACAAAATATCTAAAAAAAATCATTAAAGGGTTAAATACCTGTTTTTCATAGTTCTGCGCCAGAGAAATAGACTGTGGACCCAATATGAGTATTCACAAACCATAGAGAACACTGCCCCTGGTGGCCAAGGAGTAAAGTGTTCACATATCATGCTTGTTTTTCCTTTTTGGGTTATTGTGGATGAACCATGAACTCTCCTCCATTTTATATCCTTTATGCTTTTGGTTTGTGCCAATTATTTGCCAGCATATTAATAGCAAAATGCCAATTCAAACAGTGTACGTGTCTATCATAGATTATTGTTTGCCATCTCTATAAATCATATCACTGAAACAATGAAACGTGCAGCTTTACATGTTTATAATGCAGTTATTTGCGTTGAGTTTTTGCTGTAATTGTACAGAGGCGTTATACGCTACGATAATCTAGTGTACTAGATATTAAAATAATTGTCTTTTCAAGTGACAGTCCTTAATTTGGTCATTAAGGGATTATTTGTTTCTCAATTTAATTAGCTCATAATCAGCTCTATCAAAATAATGTTTTGATTTGACTTGTAATTCATGAGCCGTTATCTTTGGTATTGGATCAGGGTTGCATTTACAATATTCAGCCAATAGAGTCACATTGGTCACTCAGAGATCAAGATAATAACAGTGGATTAGGTTCATCTTGCAGTTCTACACCGGTGGCTGAATCTCTTTGGTCAGGAATTATAGTAAAACGACTATTTGTTTTTTAATCTGACCTGAATGGAAGACATTATGCAACCATTTCTCTTTTTAAGTAATAGGAGGGGTCCTACACTCTTGCATACAGGTGAGGTAATGGACATTTGGCCAAGGTGCTTGGTTTGAGCCTTGGTTTTGACAAGATGGGAGCTAATTTTCCCCAACACTGTCACACAAGATGAACTGGAACATTTTTATTTTATTTAACCCTTGTGTTTTGTTGACATTACCTTTATGTCCTCATGGTTTAGGGCCCAACAGAGCCAAATGCTGTTTGTGTAAAAATAAAGATAATACTGATTGCAGAATTGTCCTTCAAATATTATATACGTTTTTTTTAACCTTTCTTCTGACCTTGCTAACCTGCACAGAGATTTCACAATGGAAAAAGATGAATGAGGAAAGCATTTTTATTACACCAAATCAGATCATGTATTATATGTTATGTGGCTCTGCAGGGACACACACGCACACATATATATTCCTTCTGTTTGTTATTCACATACAAAGTTATGCTGCACGTTACTTGTTTGGCTGATTTTCTATAGCAGACTTCTGAAACATCCGTTCAAATCATATTTCTAAGCAATTTGCATACGGTTAGAAAAAGTAATTAAGTATTAAGCTAATAAGATTAGGTTAAGTATGTTAAGTATGAGCAGCAGCCTTGCTGCAGATACACATCTGAGTGGCATGTAGTGAATCTCAAATATTTAGATTAGATAGATTTAGTAGGGCAGATTGTTAGTCAGCGAAGAACAGGCTCCTACCATTTAAAAATAAATACATTGTGGTAGCCTCATTTTTTTAAAGTATAATTTCGGAATCCATCAGCCTCATGCACCTCAGGGCACACTGCTTCCTGCGCACACACTGACGGTAATTGCTCTCCTTGGCTACACAAACTGAACTGTCTGACAGTCTTTGTCATAATCCTACAGCATATAAATACATTCAATGAATGAAAGAATGGATGACTAAACGATCCAATCAGTAAATCCCCATCCGTCTTTATGTGTACCCCGGCATTCCCTCAGACAGTTGACTCTTGGCTGAGCTGATAAGTCCCTCTTTATTCCGCCGCCTGCTGCTGCCATAAAAGCGCCGGGCGGGGAGCTCATTGTGCGGAGTGATCTGATACGGACTACACCCAGCCGCTGCTCACTGCCCTGGCTTTCTTTGCTGCCCCAGCCCTGACGTTGGTTAACGTCGAAGTGTGGGTTAGGTTGGAGACTCTCAATTCGCCTGTAGGGTTTCTTCCGATTCGGCCCGTCTCTTGTTTGGCAAGCTTACTTCCAAAGCTGTAGGGATTTTTATATAGCATCAATTTCTTGAATATGTCTTGGCAAAGCTACGTGGACAACCTGATGGCCGATGGCAGCTGTCAGGATAGCGCCATTGTTGGGTATACGGACGCCAAATATGTTTGGGCAGCACATGCCGGTGGTACTTTTAACAATATCACGGTAAGAAGTCAAAATGAGGTAATTGGAGTGGGAGTGGGGCTCCGTTTTGACATTAGTTGTTCTGTATCACCCACGCAGACGCTCGGCAGACTGAATAATAGCGGGTTAACCGTGAACGTTACCTAGCACGGTCTGAATGACTAGCGAGCTAACGGTACCGTGCTAGCTCTGTGGCCTGTCTCGGATATTTCCTGCTAAGGAAACGTTGCGGGATTAGACCTCGTGTGGATCAGATAAGACTTCAGTCATTGTTGCGTGCATGTACCACAAGCACATGAAGCAAATAGTTGCCGCAAACGGGCACTAATCAGATTATTTTTATTTAGTACACTGCTACATTAACCTAACGCTCATTTAAAACCAGACGGTGTTGGACTTGAGAAAACGTGCATGCTTTTGTGTGCACGGCCGCTTTGATTAGCTAACGTTAAGCTGCTGCTTTACCGGCTACCTGTGGTTAAAAGGGCTGACGCTGCCGCACGCTTAGACAGGCTGTGGTCAAGCTTCCTTTTTATCAACGCAAGGAATCTAGCTGCATAGTCATACTTGTATATTTTTTTGATGGGAATTACTTTTTATTTTTTGAATTC